TATACAACCCAGGCTCGCGTCGCGATACGTAGCTGTCGGTTCGCGTCTGCCACTCCGATCTATCCACTTAACATTACACACTGTACATAAGTATTTTGTACATCTTACCAAAGTAAAGTTACATCTAACATACAAAGTTTTTAAAACGTTTGAAATATTTTTTTTTTTTTGATCATAATACTTAAACGGATAGTGGTATAGATATTAATCTCCTAAAGTAATTTTTTTGTTTATCATCTAAGACATAAATATTAATATATATGTATTATATTTTTCTTATACTAATGACTGGTATGAGTCGTCAGCCATGGCTTTATAACTAACAGTAATAACTTTTGCTGCTGTGGCACAAAGTTATATCCTTATATAAGATGCGTAATGTACTTCATTTAATAAATATAACGTAAACCGACTGTGAGCTACCCGACTTACGGAGTGCCAATTTCAACCTGGCGACTACAACGTCTAATGAAATAGATGCCTAGTTCAAGTCATACAGTCAGCTCAGAGGCAGTTGAAATTAGAAAGAGATCGGAATCGCCTCTAGCGACGCCATCTACGTAATCATCTATAATATGTATAACTACTTACATTCAATAACACATAAAGGTTGTAACAACACACATTCTTAACATCACTTACAGTAGAAAGTAAACTACAATTCCATACAACACTTATAATAATCAACACTCAGTAAATTAAAATACTCAATATAAAATCATGCGCTCAAAGCCCGAAATCTAAATAACGACCATAATATAGTACCAAAAATCATTACACACATTTCAAAATATATATAATTACATACATCAATTATAGTAAAATATTTGTCTAAGGAAAAGGGATTTATTATTTCAATTTATTTACATTATCTGTTACCATTTCCAGTAGCTGGAAACTTGATTACAAAAAAAAATCATTGAAGTATTTATTATAAATGTATAAGATAAACAAATCACAGTATTAAGGTAATATTTTAAACAAAAATAATTATTATTTGAATGTGATGTTAGTTCGTGAGGACTTTGTGCGTAAAGACATTTGAACAACACCAACATACGGGTTTTTGTTAGTTTTCATATAGCTGAGATGACGTAACTTAAGCGGATATGGGGGAAGACAATTGTATTGTGATTTTGTTGCTTGTACACTAACGCTAGGTTTGTTTTAAAATTACACTTGTGATTTTAGTTTTAGGAACAACCATTAAGAAAATTTAAAAGCCAAATAGTATGAGATGAATTTATAGGAAATGATTTTCATAATTATTGACAAAAAGATTTGTTTTTGTAAATTTTGAATAAAAAAAATTTAAATGATTAACAGCATTCACTTCGCTCATTAATATTGTAATAACCGAGTTCTCATAAAAATTGTTTTTTAAAATTTTACCAACATTTATTACAAGCAAGCTGATTTAAGAAACATGTATATAACTCTGAAAGAATATAGACGTAAAAATAAAAATTAAAAAAAAAAATAGGACATTCAGGTTTCTTTTTTAAATATCACTATTAACATGTAAATTGATTAAAAATTTAAAAATATTGCTATTATTTATTAATTTGTTAAATGTTATATAATTGTAAAGTACTCTAAATAGAATGCAACCATGTTGATCAGCCACGAAGGCGGGCCCTCATTAATCATTTCCTACATCATAGATCGCAAGCTGTATAGAGTCACATAACATTAGTTTCTGAGCAAACCTAAAGCTACGGTAAATTTCAAATTGTGACACGTATTAAAACTATTTTATATGTACAAGTATATTCCGATTCTTTATATTACTACACGATTAATCAAGGATTTCCAATCATATATCTGTTAAATTTACAAAGAATTTGAAACCACTATACCACGGTAAGCTCTACTATGGGGTTCGAGTGTAAACAAATACGACCTGCTATTCAGGGTACAAAATGCATGTTATTCCATGTAGTACTAAAGACTTTTAGCTATTGTTTTTAATTGTCTTAATACTTATTAAATTATTACTACTAAATAGACGCTCGTAGAAAATATTTACAATAGAAGTCTGCTCAGACCCTGTTTTTTTTTTTAGTAAGATGATATCAAATGACAACACATTAACAAATTATGCTATATTGTATTAAATAAAGACGTACGATGTCTTCATATGTTGGGGTTTTCAAATGCAAGCATGAAACTGAAATAGTCGGTGAAGGATAACAGCCTAAAACTCGATTGCATGCGTATTTTTTTGGTAATACAGTAGATATGTAAGTCTATTTACAGGAATAATACAACATATTGACATAGTGGCCATATTTGTATAGATTAATATTATTGTAAATGCATGGTAACGGAAATCATTCTGGTGCTAATTGTGAGACGAGTACGTATAGTTACCTCACAAACTGATCAGAGAGAACCGACACTGGTTACACTTATAACCGATGATATCCAGAGTTTAACTCTCAACGATTAACGTCGCATCTATATTGATACAATAATTACATACAATGGAAAACATCTAATGGATCCACCAATTAATAAATAACCTTCTATTAAATAGCAATAAGAAGCAAACATATACAATTGTAATAACTATTCTACAATTGTAACCGGATATATATGGCAACATTTAACATTCACATCGAATTATACTATTAGATAATGAAAGTGTGCTCGGACGCCCGCCTCGCGTTTGACACGCTCGGATGGTAGGGCTGAACGACGTTTTACATAGGTCTGTGGCATAATGTACAAACAGCTCGCGTTAGCAAGCGCTACACGTCCGTAAACGGCGCCAAGTTATATTCAATGTATACGCAATCACAAATACTGTCAAATTTTACTTCTTGATCTTTAACGAGGTCTAATTACAAAGGATTCTGTCCCGACGATGTTTTAAACTCGGCTGAATGCAAGCTATAAAGCTAAATTGCAAAATTCGTCTCCTATACTAGATAAACTCTTCGATACAAATGGTAGTAGAAACGTCAAAAAACTTTGAATAATATAAAGTATCAAACGGTAGAAAATATATAAATAATAATTAAAATATAATGTGTAATTTAAATATCAAGATAATTGAACGCTGATTTTACAAGACCTAATATTTTTATAATACATTACAAACATGAGGTGAATTATATTGGTTTTTGACCGACGAATCTTCCTAACGATACCTAACTCTGTAACATGATAAGAACCATTCAATACATGTCAATGGACAGAACCGTTTTATTGTAGTCCGGAAATTAACGTTCGACGTGAATCAACGCTATGGTATTAAGCAACGACTATCGAGTGTTGAATCTATTGTATATACATAATAACTAATATTCGCTAGTAACAGTAAACAAATATGACCATCGCGTGGACCCACATTGAATTATAGCAGTTTAGCACATAATTTATACATCGGCAAGATACGAAAATGGGACTATATATATATATATATATAAAAAAAAACTTTAACATAAGTATATTTATTTATATAATACCTTAAAACATATGTTGTCGAATCTCATTTTCGTACTTCCAGATGCAAGATGTCTTTATGATGTTATTATATTGTCTGACGCGAACATCGCGTTATAAATCGATTATTTACATCGCGATCAAATAATTATACGACATAATTTACGCTTAACAAACATGCACTTAAAACTATTACACCCCACTTAGGCCCGTTAACCTTGACTATCCCGATGAGTATTGCCAAATATTGCACATAACAGGTGTAGAAAATATCGAAATATTATATCGACATGCCAATCAGTCCAATATACAATAATATACAATTTTAACCTCTAAATAATTACAAATGTTTTAAAATAAGCAAACAGGTAAAAAAATATTAGAAAATAATAACAAAAAAAAATTGCTATACTATCTCATTGTCAAATCATACCAATGAAATGTACTAGTCATTTCATTGGTATGACATGCTGTGAAACATATATTAAGAAAAAAAATATGAAATATATATTAATATATAGATAAAAAATATTAATTGCTGATGGTATTTGGATTGCTCGTTTCATTTATCATAATGTGGGTGCTTCGGTCAATGTTTTAATGGCAAGCTGTTATCCTTTTGAATGTCGCACTAAAATGTTAATTTATGTTTTAATTCTTAAGAATGAAAGAAAGAAATTAAATATATCAGAACTTGTTAATAAACCATAAGCTATTAATGATTTTTTTAACATAATCATCCTAAAAATAATTATTAAAATTGACTGACAGGGCATTATAATTCTTAGTAGTAGATTGATAATTTACATAAAGTTCTACATAGGACATTTGAATTTGTAATATATTTGATGTCACGGATTGATATGTTAAAATGTTTCAATTACTTTATAAATAGATTATAAACTTATACACATGTATAATATTCAATAAGTCTTAATTAATCAAAATGTATAAAAAGATGACAAAAATAATAATAATACTTGAATATAATGACATTAAATAAAATATGTGGACACTAAGTCAATTTGGCAAACATTGTTTAGAGAAATAATTTATTAAAACCTTAATATTAAAATACAAAGGAAATAGAAATGATTCCATAAAGCCTCAAGTAAAAATCTTATAATAATAAAAATTGTATATAAAAGGAACCAACATATAGAATCAATGCCTTGTCAGTCTGTGATGTAGATTGTGATAGAGCAGCTTTGAGAACAAAAATACCTTATATACTCATATTATACTTAATGAGATTCCATATAATGAGGCACAAAGTAAAATAGTAACATTAACAAAAATATATAATATGTTATATTAAAATTTACTTGAACATCACATGATGTACAAATTATCATACATCTTAGAGTAACTTTAAGTTAATCATTGAGCTTTCCATCTATACAAATAAATAATATAACAAACTACATCGACAATTAAAAAGAATATTATACTACATAAAATATTTACATCTAATTCTAATATTAACTGTACACGTATATTTAACGTCTCTCAGACACGGTTTTAATTCAACGGCGTCGACGCGTTTGATATCACCTCACTTCACAGTGTTTATTGAGCGCGAGCGGTACAGCCGCTGAGGTGGAGGGGGGTGCGGGGGCCGCGTCGCTAGCAGGAACCGAGACCTCACCCGCACCTCCCTCCGCTTTCTTCATCACGTAACCCGAGCCCTGTGAGCTGCGGGCTAGTTTTAATCGAATAGGCGTCACTTTGTCTGTCCGTATCCTACGCAATGTGGAAGCCGTCCCAGCGCTGAAAGGCGGGTCTATGGCCAGAGGGTCCTGCGCGCCTGGGTCGTACTCGAAGGGGTCCACCGCTGGTTCGGGGACAGCCGCTGCACTGGCGAGCGGACCGCCCGCAGCCGCTTTCTTTTCTTCTTCTTTTGTACGCTTTATTTTTATAATCAATTTTGTAGCATTTTCACTTTCACTATTAACCACTTGTAGTTTTTCTTTTTCTAATTTTTTGTCCTTTTTCTTTTTGCGTTTTTCACTTTTGTTTGGTTTGTGTTTGCTTGTCTTTTCGTTTTCCTCAAAGTCAGCCATCACCATACGTCGATATTTCATGCTCTCACGACGCAAGTCTTCAAAGCTAGGTAACTTTGGAATGCTCTGAAGGCGTTTTTTAGGTGGACGAAACTGGAATCCAGGTGGTTCTTCATTCACTTGTTGGACGATGTTGGAACCAATTTTTATTTTTAGTTTTGGAGCAACAGGAGAAGCAGCTCTCGATCGATTCGGTTTCGTTGTAACCCTGGCACGCCTTTTATGTGCTTGACTTGAACTACCTGCTATATTAGAAAGCTTAAGGTCGTCCGACATATCAATATCATCTTTCATACTGACTGCTAAATGTCGTAATTCACGAGATACTCCACTAGTTATTTTGCGTTTTTTCTTGTCAACAGCTGTGTCTGTAATCTTATAATCTTCTCTGGTAGGTATACTTGTCATAGATGCTACTGCTTTAGGTATAGTAATAACCGCACGGGGTAATGGTTGCGGCGTTGCAGGTGGTGGTGCAATTCCCATAGTCGAAGCGTTACTTGGATCGTCCATGTTCATATCTTGCGTCCAATATTGACGTAATAACTCTTTTTTCCGCATACGTCTAAGGTTGGTAGAACCAGACATCATCGAACTGGTAGAATTATTAGGCGTATTTAAAACATTTGTATTAGAATCGTAGGTTGGAGCTGGTGGCTGAGGTACTACTGGTTGCACCGAGCTCGCGGAATAATTTGCATCCAAGAATGGACCTTTGATTTTTACTTTTAACTGATTTCTTGAATCTGATAACGATACTTTCGGTAATTGAGGTAAAGCAGTCTCTTTTATAGGTTCAATTGTTCCTTGCGAAGACACCATACCAGGAATGCCAGATTTAGCTTTAATTGCCATAAGATCTGAATGAAGTTGTTTCTCTACCTCCTCATCAATTTCTACTAATTGTTGGTCAGCTGTTCCACTAGCAAAAGCAAGAAGATGACTATTGTAAGCATCGCTTGCAGGTGGTGCTGGATTATCGAAACTACTATAGGTACGCATATCCACGGGACCTGGTAACACTGGGTGCACTTGTGAAAAGCCTGGCCCTCTTTCAGAACTGCTTCTCTCTGACGGTGATTTTGCTTTTTCAATTTGTTCAGGGGTAATCAACTTCACATCTTTAGGTTCAGGAGTAGATCGTTTACTTATTGTTGATGGGCTCAATACTCGAGGTGATTGAGACGAATCTTTATAGGAGTGTTCAGATTTTCTGTCATCTCTAATGTCTACGGACTTTCGTCTATCTCTTAATGCTTTGAGATCTACACCATCATTGGCTAGTTCTTCGTTAAAATCATACACAGTTCCCACTAATTTACTTTGAATAGAATTACCAATATAGTCACCTGATGCATATGCGTGTCCACGGCTCTTTGATCTGCCCCGTCCTCTTTGACTTCTATTATTTCTGTTATTTGCACGCTTTGATCCTTTTGGAACCTCTGATTGCTTAGGAGATATTCCGGGACTTTTACCCGGTGATTTCCCAGGGAATTTTGTAGTACTTTTAGATAACTTTGGAGGAGACTTTGAATCCTGTGTCACACTTATTATAGTCTCATTACTATCATTAGACAATTTGGTAGCAGGTCGCGTATTACTTGAATCATTAAAGGAATCTACGCTGATACTTGGACTAGAAGCCACGCGAATAGATAATTTATCACTACTTGTAACATCAATATCATCTTGCGGTGAATCCAGGGGTTTAGAAGTTGGCGACGCTATCATTGCAGTTGTCAATGCAATATTTTGCGACGATGAAGTAAATGTAGCGCATAATGAAAATGATGGCTTAGACAACGGCATTAAAGGGTTTGGTCCAAAAGGTAGGCCTGCAGCATACAGTCCGGGCGCCGGAGAGGGTAATGGTAACTGTGATGATGCGCAAGCTCCTGGCGCAAACAAAGGTAATGTTGCCATGGAGTTCAAAAAAGGTGAATCAGGCGGATAAGAGGTGTACTGATTCAAAGGCATGGCGGTTTCAACAGGACACGCATAAGCTGGTGGATAAGAGTCAATTTCAGGTCTTTGTCGAGATTCGCAACGAATATGTGATTTGATATCTACTTTCTGTGAACAAATTGAGCCTTCTGAGTTGGTACTTGAAGCAGAAGATCTTCGCATTGTTATTTTACTTTCTGACCATTTTGAATCATGACCTATGTATGGTGAAGATATCGTAGCACAATCGGAATGTATTGCTGAATTATTATTGTCATAAGTTGGATTGTCCTGTGTAAGTTCATGATCATTACTGTGAACTGAATGGTCAATTACAGACAAGGATTGTGAATCGTCACTCTTGGTATTTGATATACAATCCCCTCCTTCTGATACCGAAGGTATTGAATGAATAGTACCTTGTTCCTTAATTTCTTCAGTGTAAGATGCAACTTCGTATTTCGTTTCTATTGATAGGTCTAACTGCTGTTCGCTTCGAGATAAATTCAAATCACTCCATTTTTCATTACTATTAGAGGGCGCAGAAAGTATTTCCTTGTTATTAAAGTTCCTGGTAAGATTGTTAGGTTCAGAAACGGGGTAATTACTGCTTGTATTATTCTTTGGTGAACTTAATTTATCGTGCAAGTCGAATATTTCCGTTTTCTCACTTTTTGTAAGAGGTGGAATGTCAGAAATCAAATCTTCAGCTCTATGGTCTTTATCCCCCATGTCAATATCTTCCTGTATGTTCTTTTCAGCTGGGGGCTTTTTAGTATTTAGTTGCATTCTCAACCTGTCTACTAAATCTAGAGTTTCCTGAACACCCTGCTCTTTAGAATCTTCCTTTTTAAAGAATTCTGGATAAGACGTAAAAGGTTTGATCATCTCTTCGTGATTGAAACCATCTTCAACTGAGGAAAATATATCCAATTCAAATAGTTCATTATCTTTGGATTGTGGTGAAAACATTGCTCGATTCGGAAATGGATTGACTGCTGAAGGTATTTTAGCACTCTTTGATATCTCGACGCCTTGAACATGACTAGCATCTTGACCAATAAATTTCTTTTCTGAATCAAGAATTGACCGTTTTCTAACATTTCGAGCTATAGGGTTTTCAACATCAATTGGATCAATTGTACGAGCATCCATGGGAGTTTTAGGAGATTTAATCATCGTATTTTCATTCAGATTGGCTTGAATTTTCGCAATCATTTTAATACTACTTTTATCAGCGTAATCTGAATCCAAAGATTTATCTTCAGTCATATATTTCTCATGATCACCTGGTTTTTCTACCGGTGGGGGATGAACGTTCGGGCTAGGCGCCTTAGGAAGCCAATTCTTATCCGGATCAGAAAAGTCGTCATTTATAACTGGAGATATTTTCTCATCGATTGTTTCTACAGCAGTTGGCTGTTCTTTAGGAGTCGTATTTACTTTCTTTACCGGTGACAAACTTGCATGATCTATTATTTGCGAGTCACGTCTAGAAGGTCGTCTCTCCTTCGGTACTATTTCACGAATTTCTTTCGGGGGAGACATTATTTCTTTTTCTGCCAAATCTTTAACACTCATTCTCCTATTTGGAACAATCTTATGTTTGAGTTCAGTACTCTTCCTAGGACTATTTCTTCTCAAAGCAACAGGTTCATTTTCCATAACTTTGATTTTATCATCAATGGATACGCGACTTTTCGGCCTGATAGATCGCACTCTGTTATCAACTTTGGGAACATCGAGAGGTGGACAGTCCCCAACTTTTTTCACCTCCTCGTTCTCTTTCCGTTTCGGAGTTGCAAGTTCAACGGACTGGGTGGTCTCTTTGGAACTTTTACTTGAGGCCGAGACATTTCCTGAGTCGTCTTTAGATGATTTTCCCTGTCTGGTGTCGTCAGACTTATTAAGCATATTTCCGCTTGAAATAGTGCTTCTGGTCCGAGCACGCGTGGCAGCACGCGTGTCGCTGGGTCTGCTCGGTTCCTCTCTTTCAACAGGCGGCAATGATAACCCACACTCGGACCCCCGTTCGGAAGTTTTAAGCTTCTTCTCTGGGGCCTTGTGTGGAGATTGCAAATCGATTGATATACTTTTTCTCTTTCTACGTCTTCGAGGACGTTTGGGTGAGGGACTTCCCGATCCAGAAAATCTTGATCCTTTAGAGCTGTCAGTATCACTCGAGGCACTAGTTGAAGACAATGGTCTTGACACCTTGTCAAGAAAGGGCAAGTCCACTGTTGGTCTAGAGCCTGGTGGAGAAAACATTGAAGGGGGCTTTAATGGTTTAATTTCACGTGCTTTTACCATAGGCTTAATTCCTGGTTTTTCTTGTTCTTCATCTGAACTTGATGATGATGAGTCGCTACTACTACTTGAATTAGAAGAAGAACTTGATGAATCTTTCTGTGGTGATTTTGATCTTTTACCTTCTTCTTTTGTAGGAGAAGTTTTAGCAATTTCGGCTTTTTCAGAATCTTTCTTTTTATCGCCATCAAGAGTTTCAGTAGCAGGTGCCTTAGATCCAAGACCACTTTTGATATGTGCTGCAGCTTTCTTAGCAGCTTGTCTTTGAGGTACATATGCTATCGGTTCTTTTTCTTGTTCTTTTGACGACTTTTTCCTTCCCACTTTCTCTGGAATATCTTTAGGTTCCTTTCCTTTTGATTTAATTTTTGGTTTTGACTTAGTATCATCACCACTTACTTGTTTTTCGGGCACATTTTCTTCCTTCTTAATTGCTGTAGTAGAACGCATGTTCTCAGACGCTTTCTTAGCAGCCTGCCTTTGTGGCACAATTAAATCAGTAGGATGGTCTTTCTGCTTAGCAAATTTAATATTCTCTTTATCTCTAGCTTCTTCATCTGACTCATTACTTTTTACGGGTGTCTTTTTGTCCTTATTTGAAGGTTTCCTTCCCCTTTTCTTAGGAGCGGGTTTGTCTTTTACTGGAGAAACTTTCTTTTCAGGTTGTGTCGGAATGAACTCTTTCATTGCTGCTTTCGTACGAGGTAGTGATTGTTGTGAATCATTTTCATTAGAAGATTTATCCACCTTTGTTTTGTCTACTTTAGTCTTTTCAGTTTTTGTTTTTGACTTGTCAGGTTTAACTTCTTCCTTTACAGAAGCGCCTTCACTACTATCGGAATAAATATCAATTGGGAATTTACTATTTCGTGTTGTTCGCATAGGTATGAGATCATCACTATCTGAAGCTGATTGACCACCTTTACCAGCAGTCATTTCTTTTTCCATTTGTTGCAATGTCTTGCTTCTTGACTTATCTTTTTTCATTCTCGATTTTATAATTTCATCCTCACTCATATCACTCACACAACTGCTCTCAACTAATGCTTTAGATTGAGGGCCTTTCTTTTTCTTCTTTTCTGGTTTTTTGGGAGATTTCTTTCCTTTGGTTTTAGGCGATACTTTCTTTTTCGGTGAAACAGCAGGTTTCTTTACATCTTCATCTGTGCTAGAGCCAATAGCTCGCCCGCGGTACTTAGTATTACCCCTAATTTCGGTACCGCTTTCTTCACTAGATAGACCACTATACATACTTCCACTCCGTCGAGATCCATTTACATAATGCTTTTTATAAGGATTCGTCGTTTTTGCACCTCTTAGCAGGCCGTTACGATCTTTCTTTTTATCGTCACCAGCTTCTTGGGGTGCAATACGAGCAAGGAGATCTTGGAAATCATTTTTATGATCAGGGGCATTTGGATGAGAATATAATCTGTCGTATATTGATGGCCCATGATTGGCTTCAATTATGGCTGCTAAATCTGGTCCTGATATATTTGAATCAGCAGACAACACCGCCACTTGTTTATGAAAGGTTTGCTCTCTCATTCGAAAGAATGAACGAGAGAGCTTTTCCCTTCGGCTTACCATATAGCAAAGATTTCGCACCCTTTCTAAATCTTGTCTCAGCTGTACAAACATTTTCATTTTATCGAGATCCGCTTGCTCTTGTCTGTGGGTAAGTAGTTCATTGTCATCAGATTTTGGTGGAAGTAAGGGGCGGTTATGGCCCGCACGCCTTTTTAATTTCCAGTAATTGTAAATGTAATTGATAGCGTCTTGATCAACGTCAAGAAGATGTGTACTTATATCTTTTACACTGACGTGTCGATCAAATTCACCTTCTATTTCCTGCAGCCGCGCTGCACGAGCTTGAGTCTTTTCTTCCGAAGTCATATCTTTACGACGTTTTCTTTTAACTTCTTCTTCTTCAGAGCCAGAGCCAGGACATTTTTCTTTTTTAGAGTTGACACTATGCTTCTGACAATAGGAACGCAATTTGACTCCATCGTCTGCGTTTTCATCTTCAATTATTGCACGCATTTCTAGTCCATGTTTAAATGCACAAGTTACATGATAAGCAGTCTTACAAGTTTTCACAGAGCACTGTATACAGGCACCTTTACGCTCACGACACAATACACACACTAACGACCAACGAGATGCAGGGATCGAGGTTATTTTTGTTATCGGCTCCATTTTCTCAGCACAACCTATTGAAACTTCAGGAATCCAAAGAACGCAGCTGACGTGGGCCCACTTATGTCCTGAAGGAGTACATTTCATAGCTCCTCCAAGATTAGGGCACAAAACACAAGTTGGTCTGATACCAGCTCCACACGGTCGACAAAGCCACTGACCTGAAACCATTTGGAAGTATCGTATAAATATCTGTAATGATATAAAATATTAAATTCACGAATTTTAATATTAACATACCGTCTGGAATAACTGTGATTCCATAACAAGCTTGGTGAACGCAAATGTTACATGAATCGCAAAACACCATCTCGTTTCCATCCTCTGAATCAGGGGATCGACAAACATCACAGATGACATTTTCGTCATATTCTATACCGAGACCCTCTTCCGATTTTATAATCGCTTGAATTTTGTCCCACGTTCGGACCTATAATAAAAAAAAAATCTTATCATCATAACATAATTTAAAAAACATTATCTTAATTAAAATAAAATATAACTTAGGAATAAAAGTAAAATGAATATGAAACTCCAAAATATAATGATTGATCAGAACTATAAACCAGTATATTTTAGTTGAAAACTTTTACTAATATTTGTTTTTTCATTTTCCATTATACATAAGTTAACCAAAAACATTGTTTCCATATAATAAAACATTAATAAAATTCTACTAAAAACTACCCTGATATCCTAAAAGTTTAGTGATTATGCACATAATAATAATTAATTTTCATTCACCTTCATTCTAGTGATTTTCTTCATCATATAAAATTAAACTTTAAATCATTAAAAAGCAACAAATTAATAAAATAATAAATTTTATAACTAAGAGTCCCTTTAAAAAAATACAAATTTTTGTCTCTTAGGCTCCAAATAAAAAATACATCGAAATTGAATAATAAATGTACATACAAATTATAACATAAATCTGATTAATTACATATTTTCCAATATAATCTATGCACTTACAATACATAATATTATAATCAAAATTGCCATAAGTAAAATTGCATGTACTAAATGTCAAAATATGCATATTGTAAAATCCAATATTTATTTGTGTTATATAGATCAATAGCTAAACCTCTGGCTAGCTACACTAATTAATGATTCAGAACTGAGCTATCTTATTATTTACTTCCATAAAATGGCGAAGGCATTCCCAAAATTGTAGTGGAATTCTATGTATGTTGAAAAAAAAAACAAAAACCTGTAAGATAATCTTTTAAACTAAGAAATAACAAAACTCAAATAATTATTCAGAGATAATGATGACATAAGATTGGCCAAATTTTTTTAGGTTTCTTCCAATTTTTTTTTTTCACCTAGTAAACTTTAACATATTGAAAAACAAACAACCCTGCTCCATTGTTGTCAAGAGTAAAAAATTTCAGAGCAAGGTAATATAACTGAGTTTCTTTCATATGGTCAAGACCATTTAGGGGTATTTTCCATCAAAACTTATTAAAAATTAATTTTCTTTCAATGATTTTCTGCAGCATTATATGTAATATTTTTGTTTTTCTTATATGTAATTAAATCTTATGTTATTTATTTTCCTCCCACTGTCTCTACTTTTGTGTGGGTGTACATAATATAAACATATATATGTATGTGTTTAAGTGTATCAGTGTATTCATATGCATCATGTTCTAGTATGATTATTTATAAATTATTAGATGTTATTATTATTGTCTTAATAATAATACGAACCTACCAAGGTCTTAAAAGAGTCCAGTGATAGTACAACCTACTTACATATTTTACTCATTGATATAGTTCAGCCACCAAGGTGCAACAGTAAGTGACATTAATGCCATGAAGTTAAATTCCTAAACCAATATTTTAGTATATAGTTATAATAAACTATGTTTACATCTGAAAAGTAGTAACTTCACTTTTATTGATGCCCAAAAAAAATCAAGTTGTGTTTGGTATCTGTTCTAAATGTTTTAGTTCTGGGAAAGGAGAGTAGAGATATCTTGTTCCACATAGCTCAGTATTTACAATGTCTTCAAAAACAAATGTTTTATTTATTTGAGCACATGTCATGAAGGGATGTGTGATCATAGTTTAAAAGTTTTTATTATAAACACATATAATGTTTTTAAGTGCAATGGAGATGTCAATAATATGCCTTGTTTTATTTACATATATAAGTTCAATCACTATTCATTACTGTCAATGGAACTCAAAACTTGCAGTTAATAATGTTTTAAATTGTTGTTTTATATTTAGATGCCATATTATTGCATCCTATATTATATTTTGTGTACTTTTCGAGTATATTGACTTAAGTCAATACTGTCAAAGTATAAACTTTTAAGCCACTGCACAGTATTAATTTTAACAAATGTTAAACAGAAATAGTGGAATCGAGAGTAACAATACAACTTTTAATTGAATTTTATAAACTCCATTGTGAAAACATGGATTCAGAAACAGCCAGAAAGTTGATAGGCAACTTTTATTACAAATAAAAGAGTATGACTTTCCTAGCTTAATGTGGTTTTTTAAATTTAACAAATTCATTTAACAAATACACAATAAATAACCATTTTGTATCCTGTCTGACTTATGAAACATTCTAATTGGAGAAGTTAAAAGTATATTAGGGTGTTAGTGATACTTTATTAAAAACATGTAAATGTATTAATAGCATTAGTTGATAAGCACCAATTTCTATTCTTATTAGAAATAATTATTATATTTCAATTAGTTAAAGAAAAAATTATCTACTCTAATTACAACTACATGGAGTACCTTGTCTACATTTATCAACGGCCTTCACAGATAAAAATTGTTTAAGTAGAGGAGCTCAAAACAGAAGAGTGCCATTCAATGGCATAAACAAATAAAAAACAGTATTCATTCACCTGTTGATGTTTTTGTTACATTTAAATTAAAATTTTAAATACATAGATTTAATATGATGTATTACTGGTTCAATATTGAAGACGGCAAGTTTTCACTGTAACTCAATTTATTTAATACCTTTCTCAATAACTAGCACCCAATTTAGACCAGTCATAAAAATGTCTGAAGTTCATATTCTACTCACCTCTAGTTCTTCAATGACTTTCTCCAGCTGATCTTCTGTGACAGAGGATGCACCAGCTCTTGCTCTTTCTGAATTCAAAAGTTTCAGCCAGGCTGTGTCTGTGGCATCAAGATCATAACTACAAGCTGCCTCTGCTCTTGCTGGTGTTGTACTGAGAAAATGTTTATCGGCCTGATAGTGAGCATCCCGAGTTAGATGTATGTACTTGTCTCTAGGTCTGTGAATAGAAATATTATTTTTTATGTATGTATTTACAAAAATACCATTTAAGATAATTCAATGACTTACAATTTAAAATCTTGAAAATTTGGTGGTTTTGGGTTATCAATGATTTTAACTTTCGGTGCTGGTAATGAATCCGGGTTAACAGGAACCTGTACTCCTCTTTCCCAATCCTGCTTCCAAGTGTCTGTGATGACCCAATACTCGCTATGTGTCAATGGTTCTGAATCAGGCAACTTCATTGCGCTGATAAGATCTTTTCTGTAATTTTATTGGTAATATGCTTAAATATCTATTGGGATAAAGTTCAAAAATTACACATTATATATCAAACACAAAATTTATATAACAACAAATTCACTTCATTTCATAATATGCACTACATTGCACTTTGAGTGCTCTGAAATAAGTAGTAATACAATTTGGACACAAAACCTGCAACATACTAAAAAGATTCTTATCTTCAAAATTTACATAAATAATAAACATTAGCAAAACATTATTTTTTTTTCATTTTGAATAAAACTGACCTGTTTATACTAATAAAAGGTATAAATCTGATATTTTGAAACAATTCCTTATGCAAAATCTTTCAATTTTATTACATATTATTTTATAACCTTACCTTAATTTATTAATTCAGTGACTTGTGAAAAGTGTTATCTTATTTCTTTGAAGAATAGTCTAAGACAAAGATAATTCAAATGAGCAAAATTTTTATTTTTCTGACACCACAAGAGGTCTTAAATAAATGTTCTCCGTGTCTTTAGGTAACTTGACATGAGGAATATATGAATAATGACAATCAATTTATTTATTTTATTTTATGAATGGATGATAGGTTTCAATAATGTAAAAAGTAACACTTTTCACTGATTTACAAATTCAAAACAAAGTCAATTGCAAATGCCAACAATATACAATACAGTAGCAGTTAGTAAAAAGTTATACAATATATTAATTACCTATAATAAGTTAGTTATTTAACAATAAAATACTTACATTTTGATCTAATATAATTTCTTATATTATCAAATGTACATAACATTTTATGTCTGACAACTTAACTACTGATAAGTACTTCTAGAGGCACAGCTGTTTTCAAAAGTAATAATTTGAATTCAAACTTGTAGTAAACAAAGAAAGGAAGGAAATTCATTTGAGATATATTATTAATTAGATATATTATTAACCAATGTATTTTTAAGTAGACACAATATAATTGTATCTTGAATTGTAACAAATTATTAAATATGAACGCATAGCATGTGAATTTACTTTAAAAATGAATTAAAGTTTTTAGGACGCACAGCAAGTTTACCACATTATGCAAAAATAACACATTTTGATTATATGAATCATCGCAATGCTTTTAAAACCATTCTGAAAATTTTATAATAATTTTGCATTTATATAAAAAATAATCTTATACTAAATAATAAACATAATAAATAAATAAAATAGCATAGGTTTAAAATAAAAAGAAGATTGACAGCACTGCTTCTTTACTTATTAATGGATAAAGAACTATCATGTTATAAATAATGTTTTTCCATTTGCAAAAACTTGTGCAAAGGAAACCTAAAAATATATGAGAATCAAAATATCGCCTAGCACTTACAATTTTCAATTTAATTAAAACTTATCTATTATAATCATAATGTTTTTACACAACTATAAATTCTAACAAATTAATTCACACAAACCTGAACAGTTCAGCAGGTGCCTCGGAGGCATTTCTATTGTATATAGATGACATTTTGAGGTCACTGACAGGCCGAAGCTGCCATAGTTGGTCTTCGGCATCTGTCCTGCGGCGCTTGGATGCGCCTGCCTCATCCCCACGCATCCCAGTCGCCCGTTTTGTGCCTCGCAACGACATCTTAATTAATTTGTTCACAACCTACATGTTCACGAACCCTTCACTGCTTTACACTTTGAACGTGGTAGCAACATTGTGTAGAATGTCACATTATTCACATGATGACATTTTAGTTTGCAACCCCATAATAGGCAAAACCTGTAATAAGAAAAATTAGGATTAAAGTATAAAACTTATTCTAGTAACAATATTGACATATATACAATAAGAGAATAAAGAATAAATATGCTAAGAATACATATAAAAAGTCATAAAAATATGACATCCTAATTCATTTCGATATAATAAACGAATGTACAAATACACCATCAACAGCGTTAACTACGTAATTTGAAGCATCTTTTATGCAAAATAGAAACAATAAGGGACCTTTTTACGTAAAACTGCATTTTTGACAAATATGACAATTGTGTTTGTTCACAGGACAAAACGAGAAATAAACATTTATGAAAAGTCAAAATAATACCTAAATTATGAATACAGTATTTCAATTGTGTGCAAAAAGTTAATTTTGGCAATGTAAAGAAAAAATTAACAACAATTGTTTGACGTTTCACTATTGCACTAGTAAAATGTATGGCGGGCCTATGGATTGATCAGGGATACGAAAGCGATAGCGCTTGTATTCATTATCGAAAGAATCTTCCTAAATTCATTTGTAACAATTACAGGTATCTTAAATAACTCACGTAAGTTTGATATAGATTCCAATAAATCCATGTTAGAGTACTTTTACCGTATATTATTTATTACACGGATAGTCTCCATTAGACTATGTACATAACAAAATTGACAACATAGATAGCAGCACTGTTTTGTTGCCAGATTGACGTGAAACCTACGCATCATTTTATTCCTTTACATTTTGGTATGAACATAGGTACATATGTATAGCAATGAATAGGTTGATTGCACATTAATTTGTCGTAATTCAATAATAAGGCCTAAATAACACTCATTTTACATACATTTTCTGTAATAGTCTTTTGGCGCCATTGATCCGAAAACCACTTTGGTCACGTGACTATATACGAATCACCAACGCAAGCCAAGTAAAATGGCCAAAACGCACATCGAGTTCATATAATGTCATTGGTTTTGAAAAGAACTTGTCGCACAATAAACACATTGAGAAGAGTTTTTTCAATACATAATACTTTAAAATAAACCAAACACAACCACATATTTCATAAACATTTGGTTTGTCACAAAGTAGCACAAATTACGGAGATAATACAACATGAAACCGAAGTGAGAGATATCAATAAGAAGTTACGGAAATCAACCACTAGTTGGCGCTTCAAAAAAAACAATGTTGCCCGTAGTGAAAATTAATATATTTTATTTATTAAATTTCAATTGTTTTAATTGATAATAATGACGTCATATGATATAAAAATATAGACAATAGAAATAATCGATATATATAATATATACATATGTATGTATATAGACATATATATTTTTAACATAAGCTGTGTTTTGTTGGTAACTTAGATGCTAATTTTAGAAATAGTATTATATTTTGAATTTCATGGAATCTTTAACAAATTATCGTCGAAAACGTAGTTAGATTCGTTAAAGGTATCCCCAAACTGTGCGTCGATATCTATTCATAATACTGAATCTCGCACAGGCGTACTAGAGGTCGCAAACTATTTTACCAATAGGGTTACCAGATAATAGTTTTTTAACAAGAATTAATATATTACATATTTTTAAACTTATTCATATTAGGTATAACATAATATTTGCTTGTTTATATGTTCATAACATTTTTTGTGTAAATTTAAAATTTATAGTTTACTACACTTTTAAATCATTATAAATTTATTATTTTCTATTACTCCACTATTTCCCTTTTATATTATAATATATTTATTTTGTTTCTTTGTGGTAAAAACAACAAGATGTTAATTATGCATTATAACTTACAAGATCTACAAGAACTGAAGTCGATTTTCAATTATTCCATAATTCATAATATTATAATAAGATCAAAGTTCCCATAATATAATTCTAGTATTTCAAGAGATTTTATTGAAAAATGTTACCTGCTGAGATAGTGACAGCCCTAATGAGGATTTTCTCGGAAATGCAACATATTGATTCATTGTCGTACATGGCTATAATGGATATAACCTGTAGACGTTTAGACGAATATATCTATATCCAAAAGATGCATTTATTGAATAACTAAAAATAACCAATACAGCAAAAATAATATATACCTAAATTTAAAATAAAATCGCTTGAAACTTATAAATAATAAATATATTTGCTTTTTTTGTAAATCACAATTATTTACATACAATACTTATTAAAACCTTTCTTTAAAATACTCTTTTAAATCTAACGTTGTGTTAGACTGGTACAGACTCCAACTCTAGTAGTTAACCGTCTTTCAAAAATTAAATCGATTTTAAAACGATTGTTACTATCATTACCTTAAGGTAATATAGATAGCAATCTAGATATTCAAATCGACTGCAGACAAAATTTAAGACTTACTTTTTTTCTTAAATATTTGTGTCCAAGAATTAAATAACAATTTCAGAGAAAAATCATTTCAGTTTAGTACCGGCAGGTATATAATACATCACGTAGAAAAGCGTTTTTGTAATAAACTAATAAGAACTTACACATATGTTTGCATATGTAATTTCAAATAAGAATTGTATGAGGTCGACAAAAAATATAAAATTTATTAAAAAAAAATTAAAACATTTTAAGGTGCTAGTTGTACAAAATGTAGGAATACAATTTAGGATCATTTCAATTTTTTACGACCCTCCTTCAGTTGTCATCCATATTCTTTAGCAAAAAAAAATATCGAAAAAATGTATTATGTATTAAATTGTGAATCTAGTAGACAATCAAAGCAGCTTTTAATTGTACTTTAATAAAAAAGGACGTTTCAAATCCATATGCAATCAATCATTTTGATTCTAGCCTCAAAAAATACTCTTTCACTAATACTTACTGAATCTGTGCAATGGACCTTGTGCCACACTCTTTGATCAAAACACTTTAGATCAAACCATAACTGTGTAATTTTCCAATTGGCAGAAGCAGTAACGCACCTAGGAGCTAAACTACACCAACTTCCTTACTATTGTTCTTAACAGTCTCATTTATTTAATATTTTATTGTCTAAAGAGCACTAATATTAGAATAATAATAACACCAATATGGGTCACCCTTCTTCAGTATTTTTATATTATCCAAGAAAAAACCTATAAAAGGCTTCTAATTTTAGTCATCGAAATAAAATACATATAATTTACATCACATTTATTTAAAATCGACAATTCCAATATTATTACGAGCTTAAATATTATAAGATGTTACACGAATAAAACAATAGAAGTCTTAAAATAGTGTGACAATTTCCTTTGAGTTACACAAACAGGTAAGTTGAGGCTGAACTATTGATGGCAGACAATGGAAGGTCATCATATAAATAGGAACAGAACAGACAAATCAATATCAGATAACTTATTTGAAGACTACAACTGGCTCTTACTTAAAATACATATGCATTCCTCTTAAATTAACACAAAATATTATGAAGTTTCGCAGATACATCAATTTATCTTTTTTTAAGCAACATTTTATTTATTATGATTAGATACCACAGTTAAAATTGAACCAAAATAAAAATAATAGATGTGAAGAGATTCAAGTCGTTAAAATTCATCAATAATCACAATATAAATAAAAAAAATCATGCAGACAGGGTCATGGGCCAAGTAATAAATACAATTAATCAGAATTTGAGGATATTAAAAATGTAGATATAAGAATATACAATATTTTCGTTATTGTTATTGACAGACCTAAACGGCACATACCCACAGCCTTACAATCTTACAACTTCTAACATTGTTCAATATACAAAACTCTCGTTATATAAAAACTTACCACTTTACATAATCCATGTTTACCTTGTTGCAATCGTTCCCCTATAATTTACTTGGGAATAACATACTATAATAAATAAATATGAAAAATAAAACCAGAGAGACATATAAATATTTCAGATGGCAATATACATTATAAACTGGAATGTATTCTGTAGCCAGTAGTAAAGTTTAAATTGTACAGGAATGGTACTTAAAAATATATAAAAATATACTTTTATAAATAACAAGGAATAAATATATAAATAATATACTTATGTATCAACTTATGACTACCACATTATGACAAGGCTATAGAGAGGAAATTTATGCATGTATAATGTACACAAAAAACTATGTAGCATATAAACATTTTTTTCAAGAGGTTCAATTCATAAATGGAATTTGTTAAAATTATTGACAATTCCATTTAAATATTATACCAAAAAAGTTGAAATTGGGCGGAATCAAGGAAATGCAAGCAAGGATTTACCTTAGATGATTGAATACGAGGAACATCATAGAAGTACAAATTATATTGATATGAAATAATAAACTCTGAAAATTATGGCTAATAAAAGATAAAAGATCGCTGAAATTTAACCCAATTTTAAGTTTTTACATCAAAGTTGTTCGAACCGCATCCCCATCAAGGAATGTTCCTAATACAAATTATATACTATGAAAGAAAAAGATATATAAAGGAAAGATTAAACTGCTATTAATAATTAAAATCCAAGGTTCTACCAATTATAATCAGTTCACAATTTATAAATATTAATCAGCATTAACATAACCAATTAGTAATTATAAGTTATATGTTAAAATTTAAACCTAAATAAATTTGACTTTGGAATTTTATTAAATATAATTATCCTGTTTTGTATTATAAATTGAGATTAGTCTGAGATTAAATAAACAAACAAAAACAAAAAAGTAGGGAATTATTAAATCGGTGCTAATATTATGGACATATTTAGCTTTCCTAATGACAAACTAATGTAACATGATCAAATATGTGTATACAATGTACATGTTATACACATTCTTTTATTAATATAATGTAGACATACATTTTTATAGTTCTAGTTAGTAGATACAAGTCTAAAAATTTTGATGTGTATACTTCGATTTAAACCCTCACCAAAAAAGATTGTCTCTACAATACGAATTTCCATCTAAATTCCTTACTAACTATATTTTATTTTAACAATATTAAACTTATTTAGAATATAACATGGGTACCTGTAATTTAATTACGATAGTAGATACTTCTGCTTATATAAAAAAAAATAGAAAATATATTAGAAAAACGTTTTTAAAGTATCAAATCTTTCTTAAATCGATGCATTGTCTGTACAATAAGAATAGTATCTTGTCAATGTTGTGCTAAATGTACGCTTTTATTTTTGATAACTATAATTAAAAACAAACAGAAGCCTCAAATTATTTACAATAAAAAGTAAGTTTTTATTCAAGTTTTCATAAAATTATTGATAGGCCATAAAGGTAATATGGAGCTTAATTTAAGACATACTAACCATGATATATTAGGTTGTAATAAACATCAATTGTAACTATTTTTTTTTTTTTTATAAAATGAGCATAATTAAGTTCATGTTAGTAAAACCAATGCCACATATTATTGTATAGCTTAGTTGGCAAATGTCTAAAGGTCACATCCCTACATTTATTGTCAGGTCGACTTCATTACCTGATAACAGTGTTACTAACATAAACCAGCTCAACGGATGATATGCAACAATGCTGTTGTCACAATAATTGACTAAAACTACATGACACTAATGACATTAAAACAATAAACCATTTAACATTTTATAAGGACTATGATCTAACATAAATACTTTGAACTTGAATTCAGGTAAACTACATGTTATTTGGCATCTATATTAAAGCCAGATGTTCTGGTATGTTTATATAATGAAGATGGATTCCTGGTTCTCAAGGAGGAAATCGGTGAATGCGTTTATTGGTGCGATAGCTGACAGAGACATCACACCAGATGGCGCCCTGCAGAGATTCGGTCCGAAGACAACCGCCAAATTGCTGCTCGTCATCTTGTTCACGCAGCTCCTATCTTGAACCTACAGGAAGTAATACTTTACTACTAATTGATGTATTGTAAGTTTGATAGTGGGAAAATGGTAAGGGGTGAATGGACAAGTATAGCATAAGTGATGAAAAGAATAGCTGTCCGTCTGAACAAGCATTTTTTTTATAATAGTTGTAAATAATTCCTGACGATTTAATTTAGTGGTCTTTTATAACTGGTGTATACAATGAACTCTTATACAATAAAACTTAAATGTTGGTATACCTTCCACAGGAACTGGAAGATGTACTTCAAGAGCTTGTAGTTCTCAAGCGGCAGCCTCTCCAGGATCATAACCTTCACCAGACGCGGCTTGTCTCTATTCGGCCATGCTATGAGTAAACGTCACATTACCGACACCAATTTGATAATTGACCCAGTTTTTTTTCTTTATCAATTAATTTAAATATTTCAGTGTTTAAACTACATATATTTCGTTTACATTAAAAAAAAAAAACGAACTAGTAATAAAATAGATTACAAACCAACTAGAAAATTTAAATGTCACAATATAAAAATAAAATTTACATAAAATGATTTCTATAAAAGCTATGTCCTTTTGAGATGAATTAATGATTGAATTATAAATACATACTAAGGAATTGTACGATGTCATCGTATAGGTCGAAGGTCAGCAGAGGTTCCTCCAGGTCGCGGAGAAAGGTCTTCAGCAATACCGCAGCGTTAGTGGGGTCGTCTCTGAAGCAGACAGGTTCCCCCCTGTTACAAGCGCTTTGGATCTCCTTCACAGCCACGATGTTCGCTGAACGCCTGAAGAGACCTTCCGTCTCCAAAACTAGGACAAGAGCACAAATAATCTAAAAGCCCGACCAATTAATTCGCAGTGCACTTTTTGTCTATTTTATAACAAATCCATCTAGTAAAACGATAAAAGAATTAAAATATTAACCACAATATTAATATTTCTTTTTTTTAACCTCGATTTCGTTAACATAAATGGTTAATTTTAAACATTCGCAACAAACAAAACATCGCAGTTATCGAGCAAACAGGAAGTGAATGTCCGCGGGTAGTGTGCAATTCTGTTAATAAATTGAATAATGCACTTTAAACTCACTCTCGGGTCTAGAGAGAAACTCGACGCAATCCCTCACGATCGGTGGTATAGAGTCGACCATGTTAGAATTGTTCTCTCTAATGAACTGCAGAGAAACCCCGAACTGCTGTGTTTTCGGGGCAGACGAGCTCGGTTCGGGCAAAGCTCGGGCTTCTTCTTGACTCATCGCTGAACGCTCAGCTTTCTGACGCGCCATCTCAGCAACCCGCGGGTTCTTCGACAGCAGTAACTTGTCGTACCTAGAGGAAAATCGAGTGAGCAATCGTGACAAATATCACAGATCACGTGGCAGTACAAAAACCCTTAGCTTTCCGGGACGATACTTACTCTAGAACTTGTTCGGGAATGCAAAGTTTATCCAAATCTAAATATTGTTGTAATTCATGTAAATAGTTTACATACATCATCTTTCTGCCAAATTTCACGCTTATTGCTGGTTTAAGCATTTGCCAGACAATGCGTATGAAATTTGTAGGATGCACTAAATATAGTGCTTTAAGATTTTTCTTGTATTTTCTTTCGAAAGCTTTGTAAGCTTTCCATAGCCAAGAGAGAGGTGGCTTGTTCTTGCTTGTTAGACCATAATGAAAATACACAACACTATAATCTTGCTCCACATATTTATCCAAAGTACACACTAGGTACCTAAAAACATTAAAAAAATCAAAAACACCAAAAGCTTAGAAATGAAATAGAAAGAAAGAACATAAAACACCGATAAGTCTTGAAAAAAAAACACCATAGGTACCTTAGCAGATCGTCTGGATGCAGGTCTTTACTGGGGGGAAGACGGCAAGCTGACACCACGATGATGCGGCGGCCTACTTCGTCATCTCCCACCACCTCGACCAAACCAGTGCCAGAAAGTTCGCAGCAGCAATCGCCGTCTAACGATGAGGCAGCTATCTAAATAAACAACACCCCTGCTTTATTGACTATAGCTTAACGACGCCTACACAACCGTTACATAACTCGCAATCAATAACACTAGAAGGTATATATACCAAAATAGAAAACATAATTAAAACAACTTTATTCATGTTGTATATTTTATACATAACTAATACAATGTTAACGTAAAGATTCTTGTTTAAATTATCAAAACGAAAAGTCACTTGTTGAAGTAATAAACTTAATGTCATTTTTAAAATGAAACACTTATAAGAATTTTAAGTTTAATGATATTAAATAATAGTGAATACAGACCCGGATGACAAAGCTTCAACTTAATAATGACATGTTAACTTGAACGGAATCAACAATCAAAGTGATCTGAGCGTAAACTGAATGCACATAAACACTATGAATGAACAAAGCAGCCGTGTTGATAATACCTATAAACCTGACCTAAATTATCGCCGAGACCCGGGAGACCTAGATTGCACTATTGATCGCCGGCTCTCCAATGTACAATATAAGTTACGTCCCAATTTCGGTTTTAGATGAAAATAAACAATGTGTCACGTGTATACATACATAATTTTAAAGTGGTCAGATAACTCACCTCAGCGTATACTTGAGGTGGTTTAGCGAGTTCCTTTTCAAAATTCTCTTCAATAGTTCCGTCGCTAGCCGACCGATTCAGGAGGACGTCGGGTATGTCGAGCAGTTCAGGTGGCAACGGTGCTAAAAATGACACACAGATAAATGAAACGCTACGATCCTAATACATCAAGCCGCCACAATATTTTGTATGCAATAGCGTTATATAACTGTTAAAAATATTGATTTTCACGTGCACTCACTTTTTTATTTACAATGCAGTTACTTTTTGATACCGTAGCACCTGTCCACGAACCGAGACTGTTTGTTGTGATAAAATATACCAGATTTTAGATTGTAATGATTTTTCAAAATTTTAATTGCAAGGGGAGTGCATTACGTAATGCATTTTCGAGTAACGGGCACGTAATACTGACGGAACGGCGGATATCAAAGCCTTCACTGAAAATATTTGTACTCCCCCGGCTAATATTTGTTGTGAATTATTTTATGAATTGTTTATGATTTTGCTATTATAAAAGGGTTTTTGACTTGATAATTATGGAATAGAAAATACTTTTAACGTTATTTTTTAACTTGAGTAACTTTTAGTAAAATTTTATTGTAGCTGTTTTAAAACAAAAAAATCTTTATATTTATTTTTTATAGGCAATATATTAGTGGGTAATAAATACGTGAACTATATTAATAAAATGTTTTAATATTGGCTGTTATCGCGAGCGCGGTCATATCGGGTAGCCAATCAACTGTAGTAATATGAGTTACGAAGAGTGGTTAGAAGGACATTAAATTAGGAAATTACATTTTAGTTAGAACGATAATTGACAAATCTACACTATAATATTAAAATTAATATAATATACTTTTGAGATACATAACAGATATAATTGCGAGGTTTATAAATAACGTTATTTCTTTTAATTTGTAAATCGTGTTATTTTTCTAATTCCATATAAATTGTTGATTGAATTCAAAAATTAAATACAAAGATAAAGTTTGCTTAGAATTGCATATTCATTATTCTCCGTCATACTAAGTTATGATTGCATACATTTTTTAATATTTATAAGAAATGAGAACATTAAACAAACACCATCCGTGTAACGAAACCGTAACAAATTTGTCATAACATTTAGACATGCGTTTAAAAGGTGTCATTTAGATATTGATGGCGATAACGTCTTAACTTATTGTGACAGTTGTTCCAACAAACCAATCACTAGGAAAGTTTGGGATTGGGAAAATAACGATTATCATACCTATATAAAGACAATGGTATATTCAATATAAATTAACCTTCGTTATCATGTAAGAAATCTTGATTATTAACATTTAAAACTGTTTGTTCCGTTACGATTCAATTTAACTGTGTTTTTTTCTCGATAGGATAATTTACATATCTATACAAAAACATAATATAATCAACTTTTTTTTTTCTCTGTATTAAAAATCGCTTTTGCCCACGGATACGCTAGCGTTGCCATATCGTTATTTCTGACTGATGTCGAGTTTAGAATAAAAAAGGGTTTTTAATACTTTTTCTTGAATACGTGTATGATACTGATAAAGGTTTAACATATAAAAAGTAATAAAGTGATAGTTACAAGTTCATTAAAATAAAGAAAATACATAATATTCGTAAATATTATTTGGAAGCAAATCCTTAAATATTTTTAAACAAAAATATCGCCTCTATTGCTTTTCTACAATTTCTCCAACGATCATTGCGAATATTAACCAGGATAAACAGAAAGAAGCGAAATAGGTATAAAAAAATGTAGTATTAAGTATTATTTGAATAGTCATATAGGTAAGTTGTATAACTTTAATGTAAGGAGTTTAGTGTAAGAAGGTATTCAGTGTAAGGTGTCATAAAGTATGAAACAAACAACTTTATAATTTAATTAAGGTTTGTTAGTCAGAACAATAATTATTTTAAAATATTTTTTTCTTTGAGAGGACAATTTTTTATCAATTCCACTTTATGTATATTTTTAAGACAATAATTATGTCATTCATTATAACTATCAAGAAATCAATGGAAAGTTTGTGAACATTACAGATGTATCGAAGAAGAGAAATTTATTCAGGCTAGATCAATGTAAATAGGTCATATTAGAACATACCACTTTATTAATAAAAGAATAACAACGTTTGGCTTACAATATAATGGAATTACATGTTGGATAATACAAACACCTTATATTCACCTTTAATATGAAACATGAATTATTAAATATATATATTTATTTCCATACTTATATATTTATTAACATACATATAATACATACATACATATTCCCCTCGTACATTTTATAAGAAAATTTCAAGAAAACCAACAAATACAACTGATTAATATTTTAATAAAAATATTTATTCTTTTATTATTTATAATTAAAATATTTATTCTTTTTCATATTATTTGTTGCGTTATGTTTAAATCTTAATTATTCCAACCAAACTCAAAAATATTCGAACATACCCGACAAATGGAAATTAACTCAAAGATTCGGAAATGTAAAATATTTTTAATACACAATACAATAATTTATATGACACAATTTTTTTAAGTTACAATAACATTTAATGAACATTTATATTGTGATTATCACAAGAAACGGCTGATTAAGAGTTAATTTTCTGTTTATAGTGTTTTAATAAGCATAATTATTGTTTTAAAGTAGCTTTATTTTGAGAATATTGTATTTATATAAATAAATGACATATACATTAAAATTTTTAACTACTTATAAAATATCTTGAAATTAAAAATAAATAAAGTATAATATGTTTTCCTGCATAAATTATTTAGTATATTAACAATCAATTAAGGCACAAACTAACAACATCCTTCTATTATACTGATAAATTTTTTTGATTTATGTATATTTAAAACGCTATGGTAATGTCTTTTAAGTTACAATTTAAGTATCTTTAAGTCAATGATATTTACACAATTTATTATACCATTTCTATTGCCTAAGTATGAATAACAAATTAAATTTTAACTTACCCAATCCTGAAGCTTGTATCAATTCAGAATCATCGAATTCTAAACTAGGTTCATAATCATGATACTCAGAAAGACTTGTGTATGTATCTTCAGGTTCCATTGTGTTTGCAAGAAGAACTAAATATGCAAATACAAGAAAAATATTTTACATTGTCGAAATGAATTCTAAAATTGTTTATAAAATCAAGATGTATAATCTTTAATACCTTGGTATGCCCTTATTGGACTCAATTTAGGTTGATGTTCCGATTCCATAACACTACGTTTTCGTACCAGTATCTGTTTTTCAACTAATCTTCGTGGTTGTAACTCAGTGATGTATTCATAGACTAATTAGTTTTCGTAATAATAATGAATTCATTTTAGAAGAAGTTCCAACAATGTTTCAATACGAACAAAACGCTATGCCATTTGCTAAAAACTTTTTTAAATTAACAGATAAGTCTGCTAAATCGATCGAATAACTTGCAGATCTAAACAAATCCTAGAAATACTCAGGAAAAACTTTACTATAGTAAAAAGTTACAAAATTGCACTTGCACTCACACCCTACGGTACATGTCCATATGATTCATAGCAAGAAAAAATGTAGTTCCTATAGAATACAAAATACATACAAACAATTTATAAAAGTTATATCACTTATTTCTACTTTGCCTATGGTTAAACAAACAACAGGAATATCTTTTATACTCTGTACAAAATAAAAAAGTACGTATTAACTCGATCAAGACAGAAGCACAAAAATAAGGTTAGATGTGGTGTAAGCTCAAGATCAATGAGAAAATGTTATGTTCACAACTATTTTTTATAATTCAACTCTGACTAATTGCTTCACATTCTCTTACAGATTTCCTTGTTTTACAGTGAAATTGTCAAAAAAAGGTATTTTATTTTAAAATTATCAATATTTTATTTTTAATTAACCATTTCTAGAAAAGTATTAAAGAATGAACAATAATTGATGTAGTAGTTGTTTTAATTACAATTATTTTTAAAATAGAACTGTCGCTAAAATCATTAAAAATATACATTAAAACATTTCTTATAGATATTCTTATATTAGGTCTATTCACATTTTATTTGAATAAACAGTACAGATGCACTATCCTACATGTTATTTTATAGAACATAAAGAAAGAAATAAAATAATTTTTATAAAACTATATTTTTAATATTACAAAAATCCAGACACGATAATCCATCTCAAATGGATTTATTACTAACATTTTTATTAATATTGTTTTGTACTTCAAAAGGATGTGAAAAATTTACAACTTCTATGCATATCTTGTTCTTGAACAATACATAAATGTTAAATACAAAAATAAAGTATATATATAGATATATTTATATATGTTAATGATTATATAAAATATTTTATTTACAACCGGTTAGTATAGTTTATGCGGTAGAAAGGCATGCATGCGTGTTTAAGGATTTCTTGTTCTATGAAATAAAAATGTAAATTTACAATTTTTGAAAAGATCCCATTACATAAAAATGATGTATTTCAGCCTTTATCCTATGCGCAGGATATTTTCAAGTACAGTGATTGATTTGTGTCGCTGTAGACAAGGAAAGTAATTCTTGATACCTACTTAAAATGTGAAATATTTAACCCTATTCATGAAGTCAACCAGAGCTTTCCACTGATTTATATTTGTGACTTTAACTTGTTTTATTTTTAAAGATCTCGACAGTACAAATTCTACTTAAGGGATTTGTTAAACTTTGAACACTTAACTATACAAATTTCAATGACTACAAAATAATAAGAAGCCTGGATTTTACTTCCCACAATCAATTATGTATTCAAGTAATTTAACCTTATACAAGCAATTTATTTCGACTAGATAGAGGACATTAATATGTATATATCTATAATTAAAAAAATAATAGAGAAATTATTTATGAGAATTAAAGTCCAGCTTCTTAAAGTTAGATACTATACCACAACTTTCTAAGAACAATTTTTTTGATGTTTGATTTTTTAACTGAATGGAAGAAAAAATAATATTCAAAAATATATTCAAGCCTAAATTTAATTTCTTAATACATCATTAAAATGTCTGTTACTGCTCTTTTTTTACATATAACATTATGTTCATGATAAAAAAAAAACATTATTCCACACAATTCCTATTAAAAATGATGTTATTAAAAATTTAAATGTTAAATATTGAACGTAATATTAACGTAAAAATATTCCATCATTCCAGCTTGGATTAAGTCACAGCATAAATTAATTTGAAGAATATTGACATTTGACAACTGACAACTCATTGCGCGGCTTGATTTGTAATTTGTAATAACAGAAAATATAAATCTGTATTGCTTAACTAAATGAATTAAAAACTTAGTGGCTTTGATTAAGCTCATTTATAATTATTTTGCGATATTAAAATCATTTTTTAAATAGATTCAACTACTTTTTATTTTGCTATATAACCTGAGCGTAATAATGTTAGGATATGCAAACGCTGGGATTCCAGATAAATCTTGGCAGCCACCAATTGCAGTCCTAGAAACAACGTAAGTTTTAATTTATGTTCATAAAGTTATAGTGACAAGCTATCACCTATGTTTGTGTATGTTTGAAATAGCAACAACTACCATATATTGGTTGTTATGATCTGATATTAGGCTTGAATGTGTTAGAATAGTGCTTGACTGTGATTCCACTCATTCCCACCTTATGGTAGAAATGAAGCCATTGGTGGTGACAGCCTATTAACTCTAGAGGCAGTATATAGCCATCTAGATGAAAAGAAGGTCTACTACAAGAGCATGGAGGTCAACTGACTGTGATGTGGTTATCCAATAATAGGAAGGGTGTGCATGAATTATACTCTATATTACCAAGGCTGACTAAAGTAGTTTAACTAATATGAGGTTATCACTAACCCTTTCTGCAAGTCTCCATGAAATTTAAACAGTGACATGAGAATTGGCTGTGACTGCCTCAATGAAAGTTGGTGTTATATATGGTTGTGTGTGAAAACCACACAAAACCATACCAGTTATTTGTATACAGCAAGGTCTTGGGGTGAGGTACTACAGCTCTTTTACAAGATGATCTAGCTTCCTTGTCCTATTGTTAGACTCAATGAATTGCCTAAAGTTAGGACTAGGGATACCTCAACACCATGTTACTGAAGGAGGTCTGTGTATGCTAAGGATAGATTGAAAAGAAGTCAAGGCTAACAACCTCCCTTTGGTACTGTTAAATTTCACAAGATATTCAGCTAAAGAGACTACAATTTTAACTGTATTTTAAATATCTTTCCATAGAAATGTAAATTATGTAGCCACAACATTAAGATACCAATAAGGGTATAGTTTCGTATGTTTGGTCAACAAAATTGTGGGAAAAAATAATGATTATGTGCATTTTAGCTTATATGTGTCTCGAGATTCACTGAGGGATAACAACACATAAGAATTTAATCATTCATAAATTACGGCTTGCATAACTTGATTATAATAGCCTTTGTCATCATTTACTTGTAGGAGTCTAAGTAGTAGATAGTAGAAAAGATAGTTACAAAAAGTTTAAAAACGTAGTAGGTTTTAACATTAATAGTATGAGTCAGGCATATGGGTACAAAATATTTTCTTCCACAAATTTAATTATACTAATAAAGGCATCCAGTCTTAACTAAGTCTCATGATTGTATAGATAATTAAAACACCTTTTAAAGTAATAAGTTTCTCTTCCAGTTATTCAATACATAACTTACATAAGTTAAATAAAACCTTTTATTATAATTTAATATTTATATTATATGGTTTTTCTTATTCATGAAATTAGATCTTGAGAGATTCTAAATATTAGGTGGTTAATCTTTTCTCTGTTTTTGTGTAATGTAATACCATGTTTTATTTTCAATTATATGAGTAGTTTTTCATACTGGCTGAAAATAAAAATATTGTGTGACGACTATCTTAAGGCAACTACTTGTTTGGTTAAGAAAATATGTACATAGATAAGATACAATGGGGAGAAAATTCGTACATAAAGCTGTTATAATTTGTAAAGGTTAAAATTGTGTATACGTAAATAATAAAAATATGGTTTTTTATTGAGATTTTATTTATTTGCAGAATGGGTACAATTGTTGTAGAAATGTATTGGAAGCATACACCCAACACTTGTCGAAATTTTATGGAGTTGGTGAGAAGAGGGTATTACAATAACACAAAGTTTCATCGAGTTATAAGGGATTTTATGGTTCAAGGAGGTGATCACACAGGGACGGGTAAAGGTGGCCAATCAATATATGGGCCACAATTTGATGATGAAATATCGAATGATTTGAAACATACCGGTGCAGGAATATTGTCTATGGCCAATGTTGGACCTAACACAAATGGATCACAATTCTTTATAACCTTGGCACCAACACAGTGGTTGGATGGCAAACACACAATCTTTGGAAGAGTGCAAAGTGGAATGACTGTGGTGAAAAGAATTGGATTAGTTGAATGTGATGCAAATGACTGTCCTGTTGATGATGTAAGAATTGAAAGATCTTATATACCAAAATAATAAATAAAATGAATTGTATTAAATCATTTTTTCCTTTTTGATACCAAATTCAAATGCAATATAATTTTTTTGTACATAATTAAATTGATACTTGAAAAAATGCAAATGTACAAATTATGAATAAAATTTGCAAACCATTTAATAGTTTATTAAATTTTAGTTTTTTAAATAATCTGCTTTTCAATGAGTTCTTCATTACATTTCTCAGGAACACACACCTAATAATTTAATATTTATTCAAGCTATTTATTCCATGTGACCTTTTATTTACCTACTTATTCTTTAAGTTTTGTTTTTAGACATGTGACAAAATAATTTGATTTTCATATCTTCTAAACTATAGCTAAAAGCAGTTGATAAATTTTGTCTAGAATTTAGGATAGTTAATTTTTACTCAATGATGATTTATACGATTCCAAATTGTGTATTTATATTGTTAAAAAGGAATTGCTGATTTTTTTGGTACATTTAAAAGATACTTGGGGAAAGACAGGAAAAATTATCTCATGTTGCATACTATTTCTCCAGATGATGTTGATAACATTCCTAATGTTAAAAATAAATTATTATGCTTACACCCCCCAACGACCCCTTCCATCTTCATGTATCCTAAATATCATAGAATTAATAGAGAAAATCTACATACCAATAAGTAAATACCAATGTATTGGACATTTCAGATATGTATACATATTCGTATAACATATTTTAAAGTATAAAAATGCTACTAAATCTATGTCTACCTTTATCTTTTATTATGACACTGGAACAACACAATTAACACATTCTCGTTTCGAAAGGTTACATAAAAGGTATTTTATGGTAAAATGATCATACCTTAGTTATCTATTTATACTCTTGATACTCATATTCAATAAGCAGTCGATCTTATTAATAAAAAAAAATATATATGTACTTATAAGTAGTAAAAGATTTACTATTACATGTCTTAGGACAGTTATTATAAAAAAAAGCTAAAGCCATGAATTAGCCCATAGAAATACTATTTTCTTCGAATTGAAAAATAATTACAAATTATTATTTGAGGTATTTCAATTGATAATGGTTAGTTATAATTAGTAAGTAGGAAACAAATTATAGGCCTTGTTTGACATTTTCATATTGAAAAGAATATCAATTAATTATCAATTACGTCTAGTATACATTTTTGTCTTTTTGTCTGTCTGGGATTGTTATCAACAAAAAGAGAATGCTGCGGTTTGATATTAAAACGTTCATTTTGCGACGAGGCAAATCAATAAAATATATCGCTGTGATTATATGACAAAGTACTTTAAATTTTATTTTCAATTTACAGATTTCATGCTACAATGTTAAGATTTTTTTAAGCATTACCAAATTTCTAAACGAATTATAATTACAGAATTGACTTATGGTAATGACGCTAAAAATTGTTGATTAGTAATTGCCACGTGTTGTATGAATATTTGAAAATGAAGAATACTCAGTAACTTTTTTTCTATGGAATATTATAATTTTTATCTTATTGATTTCTTATATTGAAAATTGCAGCTACAATTTTTTTTTAATAAATTAGAAGTTAGTAATTATTGTAGTAATGGAAAAATTATTTAATATAATGTACAAACGTATTCCATATTGGAATTTACTTAACAAATGGATATTTATTTTCTCTACTCTACGCTTAATTTGGTTTCTCCAATTTTATGTCGCTTATCATTGCAAGATACAAAATCACTCCATCTCTTTTTGAGTGTGGCAACATTCTTGTCACTAATCCACCGCTAGTAAGCGGTAACGTGAAATTTATCGTTGAATTTAATTATAATGATATAAAATTGTACTTACACTGGAATTAACATTAATTATGTAAAAATAAGTCTGCTTCATAATATTTTATCTTAGTGATTATTTGTGACAAAGTTATATTTCAAATGCTGCAAAAGTAGTTTCTGACACTATAGTGACGCCATGTTTGTCACGTTTTTGCCAATAGTGAATAAGTTAAACTTTAAATAAAATTGATAATTGACTCGGAGATCATACTTATTGGTTCATAATTATTTACTGTTCAAAATGAGTGCCAGTCTTTCATCAAGAAAAACGAAGAGATCGAGGACGGATAGTGAAGCCAACGACGTAAGTTGACATGGAGTTCCCGCTCTAAGCGACATTTCTGGCCTCACGCGTAGATATATATTTTTACATGATTAAATGACGCTATGCTCAGCTATGGTTAAAATGTAATCTTGAATATAATTTTCCCTTAAAAGATAATTATTTTCATACATTTTTTGCTTATGCTGATAAAAGTGATGTTTAAACATATTGTAAGCGATTTTATGTATATATTCCTGCTCTTGTTTGTTGAATGAATATACAGCTTTAATATCAGATAACTTTTGCTATTGATTCACAGTTCTAAACCTGTTGTCTTAATTACTTAATAGTACACTTTTCTTTGATTTGGTAATCTTGAATTTCAAGGCTATTAAATTTGAACTGGGTTTGTGGGTATTAAAATATATCTTTCGTTTAAAAAAATACGAAATTAAGAAATATATACTTTATAATTTTTTGGACAAGTACTCCTGCTTTGCAAGGTGCTGTTAAATTATTGAAGATGTGAGAAGTGTTATTCAATGGTATTACTTTAAAAAATATATCCTACATCATTATTTTGCGACTGTATTACTTGGCATTATTATATATTTTTATAAAGCTTCTTTATACTTAATATGGAATAAATCAAAGTGATGGTGAATGTGGTGTGTAACATGTTAAAAGTTTGTAAAATTTACTAAGTTCCATTAAATAAAACAAGTAAACCAGTTTGGAGTCTTAGACCATCTTTGAATACTTTTACTTAAAAATGTTATAAATCACCGACAATCAAGTCTGCTTATTTTTATTACGATGATTTAAAATATTAATTCTGAGTTGGAAGTTATGCAAACTTACAATTAGTTGAACTTTTCTAGAGTTATTGTTGTTTTGAATATTTCACTTAATTCATTTTAACAGAAAATCAAAATCATTGCAATATATACATATTTATGGGCAATGTAATATTTAAGATAAACAACTAAAATCATAAAAATGGCTTATACTTTTAATCAGAACTTAAATCTCTGCAAATAAGTAAATGTTAATAAAAAACCTGTTAACTTTAATACAGTTAAGGAACTCATCCAAGTTAATGAAACTGTCATTTGAACAATTAAGCTTATCAACAATTTATTTTACTATATCTTCATGAATAACCGGGTTTCCAACCTATAAGATATTCTGTATACTACACATAACCACTGTTATGTTTTTCTTGCAAAGTGAAATTTCTGCAACAGCTTTTGATATTTCATAAGTATGCTCTGTGAATTGTTGATGCTTTCAATAGCAATTTATTTAATGAATAATATCATCTCCTCTGTCTTTTTTTATATTATGTGAAATTGTAAGCATAGTACACAGGTATTCATACAAGTACCTAACATTTTTATTTTGTGAACTTAAATTTAATAAAATGTTAAATGTAATGACATTACAAAAAAGTAAATTTTATCAATTATTAAAATGATAATGTGAGAAAGGAAGTGATAAATCGAGTATTAATTGTAAACTTGAAAAGTTTTAAAAGTAAATTTGCAACTAAATAGCCGAAACCACTGTTGTAAATTTTTTATTTTAGTATGTAAAATTTATATATATACGTAGATATAATAAAATCTGCAAGTATTTTACAGACTAAATAATATACCCATCAATACCATGAGATAGTTCCTAATACTTAATTATTTTGGTAAAAATTCACTTGGTTATAATTAGGGCCCAGATAAATATGTATTAAAAAATCTAAAGTATGTACATAAAATATGGACGAAAAAATCAAAAATATGGAAAAAATATGGAGTATAAAATAAAATACTTATAATTAAACATTGTTTTACTATAAGAAAAGGGTCACTCCTGACATACATTGTTAAGTTACATTTAAAAAACGATGAAAAAAATAGGGAAATATGTATTTCAACAAAAAATAACAGTTTTATTCAACTTCTATTACACCAGCCTTATCAAATTGGTTGCAATACACAATGACGTGATTCTTTAAATTATCAAAATGAAAAGTGACCATTTGGTAGAAATATAGCCTTATATCTGCTGAATGATCTCTCCACGTCACATGACGTGATGGGTGCATACTTAAACATGCTTATTTCAGTAATTGTGTAAGCATGTCTACAGCCCTCGAAACTTCCTTACAGAATTTTGTTAATTTTTTTTTAAGAGTATCAAATCCTTTATTTTTATCCAAAACATTAGGGGCGGGAACGTAAATTTTATGTATTTTTGTGAATATATTAATGATTGTGACATTTTCTTGTAAAATATGGACTTAACTTTGAAACATGGTAAAATATGGAAAATAAAAGTTGGTTATTCAGTCTAAATATGACAATCCATGTAGAAAATTCATTCTAGACCGAAAATCGCGTAAATTAAAAATATGTATTTACATATTAATCCGGGCCCTAGTTATAATATATTATGTACATTTAATACAACTGTAGATTTGCATATTGTTGATTGAGGAATAATTTTTCTAATTATGTTATTGCAGTCTTTTGTGAAGAATGTTACATCTCGGATGTCAGGGTTATTACCTGCAACTATCACCAGATGGTTCAGCTCATCAAGTTCGTCCAATACAAATGGTTCAACCGTGGTGGAATCAACAGATTCATCGACTGAAGATGAGGCTACAGATGGTCTCAGAACACCAAATCAGAGGAATCAACCATCCCAACCTCCAGCTAAAAGAATGAGATACAGTACCCCAGGAACATCAAGTTATTATTATCCAGAAGTAAGTGTTATTAATGCTATCTATATCTTATAATTTTCTATTGACATTTTAATATAAAGATTGTCTTGATGTGTTAAGTGAAGATACAAATGTAATTGCAAAATTTATTGTTACTTTCTGTCAGATGTTATAGATAAGAATGTTATAGAAAAAGAAAAGATAATATTATTTTGTGACAGTATATTTATTGAGAGGTATTTTTTACAAGTTTTAAAAACTACTATGATAATATTTCAAACTGATTTGTAAATGGTAAATGCAATATTAACAAATTTGAATATTCATGAACATTGTTAATGAGGTCAATAAAGATATCTTTTCAAGTTACATGTCATATACTAAAGAATTACATTACAAGACAATTTTTTTAAAATTAATAATGTAATAAATAATATTATTTTAATGTGCGAGACTTCACTAACTGTTTGTACTCATATATTCTAAGGTAATGTTATATATTTACTGTGGGAAAAAATATGTTTTAAATTAATACAATGTTTTATCCTTTTGTAGACCAAAAGCACAAGTACAAACACTGAAACAACAGAAACATACAGTACTTTGCAGTCACCTATAAAAGATACTTTAAAAGTAGAAACAAACTATGTTTCAACACCCTCATGCTCTCCAAGTGAAACATCCACTATAAATGAAAATGAAAAGGATCCTTCTATCATCTACATATACCAAGATTCTGTAACAAGTGTCAATAATTCAGTTGAACAAACAAGAAAGTCAATTTTTGGCTCTGAAGAAAGACTTCAAGAGTCCTGTGGTAAATTTTGTTTTGTTTTGTTGAATATTTTTTGGTTCATAGTAAAAAATAATTATATTTCTGTCTTTGTTGCAATGAGTAAATAATTACTTAAATTTCAGCTAGAACTGCTGCAAACACATATAAGGATCTCACTCAACCTTACTTTAAGCCAGGTCTTCTTTGCACTCCATTTTATACATCAAGACCAGTTTACGGAGGGACACGTAATGTCTATGTGAATCGGCCAAATATTAAACATAAAACAAAACCTTTAGTAAACAAAGTTGAGAACAACAGTAGCGTAAATATCAGCAATTCCGCAAAGCGTATTATGGATCTATTGGAAAATTATTCATCTCCAGTCAGTGAGGCTAGGAGAATTTCTCGGCTTGTGAATTCTTCTTGTGACTTAACTCCAGATACATCTTTAAATACCAGTATAGATGCTAATAATAGCAAAGCAGCATGTAAGTATTATAATAGATTAACCATGATTGCTATTAATTAATAGTAAATTTTATATGCAACATAAAAAGACAAAGGTTTTTATTGTAAATGGTCTAACTATTATGTTTTTCTTTAAGCTTACAAAAAAAGAGAACTTTATGTGCCAAGTTTTGCTTCAATATTACAACTCAAACAAAAGGCTAGACTTAATGAAACAACAAGTGCAGCACGACAAATTATTGCATCACACAGCAGTTCATTAAACACCTTACCCTATCCAGCTAGTACTTCTGGGTATGTAAATAAAATATTTGTATTCTATGTTCAGCTACAAATTTTCTTATATAAATACAATAAATAAGCATGAAGATTTTTTATGAGTTGTATTATTAATTTCAGCACCAGTCAATCCAAGGAAAATAGTCAAGAAAGTCTTACTACAAAAATGAAGACAAGACTCACTAGAATTAATAGAGGAGAAAATAAAGAAAGTGAGAGTAACAAGCTTCCAATAGTTGAATTACCAACAGCAGTACTACAGATAGATAAAGACAATTTACCAAAATTTTCACTTGACACTCCTGTGTCTCATTCATCAGATAATAAGCAAAAAATTCCAGAGTCAGTGCCCACTGGGACAAATTCTGTGGCTCAAGTTCCAAAAGTTGTACTTTCCAAAAATGAAGCTCCAAAAGTTAAGCCAATTGATATGCTTGATGGTGAAAGGTACACCTTTTCTAGTCCTATAAGGATATCTGAAGATAATTTTGTTACTTCTACAGAGACTTACAAGTTTGGGAGTCCGGAGCGGTCAGTAGAACCAACAAAAAATAAAAACAAAATTGTTAGCAGTTCAAACAACAATGAAGAAGATGAAGAGAATATCGGGATTCAGTCACATCAATCAGATAAAACCCCTAAAACTAATACATCTCAGAGTTGTGTTTCTCTTGAAGCAGCAAAACCACAAATTGAAAAGCCTATCTTTAATAAATGTTCAGATTGTAAAGTGGTTGCTAGTCAGCTATCCAGTGACAAATGTTTTGATTGCGAAAAGAAAGCGAAGAATGATAAGATGGCCTCAAAGTTACCTCAATCTGCTATTTCCTCCTGGAAATGTCAAGATTGCTGGGTAAATAATGATGTTGGAGTAGAGAAATGTGTGTGCTGTGGGGCAAAAAATTCAAGTGCTTCGCAAAATTCATCTGCACTCAAAGTAAGTTCTGAAATTCCTAAAAGTACTTGGAAATGTCAAGATTGTTGGGTAAACAATGAAGGAACAGATAAATGTGTATGCTGTGGGGCGAAACAATCGATTGCACCGAAAGTGGTGCCCACGCTTCAACCGCAAAAGCCGGTAAACACTTGGAAATGTGAAGAATGTTGGGTTGATAATAATGATGGAGCAGACAAATGCGTTTGTTGTGGTACTAAAAATTCTAGTACTACCAAAACAGAACAAAATACTAATTCTGAAACATCAGATTGGAAATGTGGGGTTTGCTGGCTAAAAAACAAATCTCATGATGATAAGTGTGTGGCTTGCAGTGGACCAAAGCCTGCAACAAAAGAACAAAATCAGAATAAAATTTCATCACCTTCACTTAATTCAACTAACAATAATTCACTATTAAAGAATATTGTCAAAACACAAAGTAATAAATGGGAGTGTCCCAGTTGTTTTGTTCATAATGAAAATAATATAAGCAAATGTGTATGTTGTGAAACAGAAAAACCAGGTATAACAAAGGAATCCGAAAAGAAGAGTTTCAATTTCGGAGTTTCTCCAAATGTATCCTTTAAATTCGGTATTAATCCGAAACAAACAACAACAGAAACTGAACCTAAACCAGCATCAATATTTGGTCAGTCAACTCAAGAAATGGAAACTAATAACAATCATATTTCAAAAGCTCCTTCGTTTACTTTTGGAATACAGAACAAGAAACCAGAAAAAGAAATTTCTAAAGAAGAAAACAAAATAGTTGAAACACCCAAGGCTGCCTTCACTTTTGGTATTCCAAAAGATAACTCAACACCAAATGCTGCACCAGCCTTTAAAATTAATACTGATATGTTCAAACCCTCTACACAATCTTCTGTATCCAATATATCAACTGCAAAAGATTCTGAAAGAGCTCAGGAAGTCCCAAGCGTTGACCAATCACAATTGAGAGCAGTTGAACCTGCTCCAAAACTTACTGGGTTATTTAGTGCATCGGCATCTAAAGATTCTACACTAAACAAGTCGATAACCAATGCGTTGACTCCTTTTAACTCAAATTTTACAGCTGAAAGCTCTGCTGGACCTACATTGACCACAGCTAGCAATACTTTGGGCACATCAAATGCAAGTTTCAGCATGACAGGAAATCAGCCTTCTAACAATATGTTCACGACATCCGTTGCGCCCACGTCAGCTAACGCTTTTGCGAGCGTGCAAACACCGCCTGTAACATCGTCGGTGTCATTGTTCCAAAAAAATGAGCAATCGAGTCCAATGATGTCATTCTTTCAAAAATCTGAAAACACATCACTATCATTGTTTAATAAGAACGAGCCCGCTGCGACTACCACTTCAGTGTCAGTTCTTCCTAGTGCACCAGTATTTAGTTTTGGTACCAGCACACCTACTACAGCTCCGTCGAATGAAAAGTCGGGATTTACTTTTACTTTTGGACGAGACAGTAAAAATGAGACTCCATCCATGTTCAAATTACCCTTTGGAGGTACTCCCGACAATTCCACCTCAAATAAGTTTATGATGCCATCATCAAACATCAACTCTGGTAATATGCTGCCTTCGAGCAATTTGGCTGGAAATTCTGTTGGAAATAATATGCCTCTGATGCTATCAGGAGGTAACAATAATCCCCTCGGTGGTTTAACTACCGGCAACGGATTACCGTCCGGGAATTTAATGAATAACTTAACACAAAATCAATTAAGCATGGAAAGTAACGTTATTACAAACAATGCACCAGCAGCTTCCGGAGATATGTTCAATACTCCTGTGCAGAAAGAGAATATGTGGTCCACAGGAAATAATAACACCCAAGGTAGCATGTTTGGTTCAAGCGAACCATCAAATAATTTACAGAAACGGCCGTTTGCTTTCGGAGCAAGTTCTGGAACATCGAAGCCATTTAGCCCAGTTGGTAGTTCGCCGTTTGATAATTCGAATCAGCCTCGACCACTATTTGGTATATCGAACCAACCGGCGGCGAATCCTTTTGGGACCGCGGCGCCGAGTCCTATGGCACCAAACATGTTCAGTTCACAACCCAGTAATCCTGCACCTTCGGTAGGCATGTTCGGGAACACCAATACTCCTGCCAGTCAACCTCCGGCTTTTGGTTTCGCAGTATCATCGTTTTCGTCGTTTGATACGAACAACATGAACCAGTCAATGAACCCCAATCCGACCCCGGCATTCAATTTCGGTGCTCCGCAACAACCATCTGGCGTCTTTGGTTTTGGTCAGGTAATTTATCATGTTATTTATGCTTAGTAAATATTAGGTATGGGATCCCGATGAAACATCTGTTTAGAGCTTATATATGAAAGAATAACTTAAGCTTGCAGTCATGGTTTTGTTTTACATCTGGGTATAGATTTCATATAAGTATGTTTAAATGGGGACTTCATAATACATATATATATTCGTGGGTTTATTTAGTCATCAGCCTATCAACGCCCACTGCTGAGCATAGCCTCTTCTCACATGGAGAAGGTTTTGAGCATTAACCACCACGCTTGCTCAAGACGGGTTGGTGATTTCAAGCTTATAATTGTGAAACTATAAGTCCAGGTTTCCTCACGATGTTTTCCTTCACCGTATGTCAGTAGTGTCTAAATACTCTCAGAAAGTACATATGACTCCGAAAAATCACATTGGTAGTTGCCAGGTTTGAACCCGCGCCCTCGGCAGTGAGAGGCGGACCCTTTAACCACTAGGCCACCACTGACTATTCGTTTATTATTTAGTAACAGTATTATTAAATGGGTATATAACTACAACTGTTAAACATAATAACTTCTTATTAAGAATGCACAATATATCAGACTTATTATGTTATTCGCATTTTCAGCAACAGCAACAACAACAAACACAACAACAGCAGCAGCAGCAGCAGCAGCCTCAGCAGCAAGGCGTGTACAATTTCGGGGGCGGCGCCCCTCAGGTACAATTTACAGTAGGAAGTGCTCCGAACACGGCCGGACGACGTGTTCGTAGAGCATTCAGACGTACCCAGCGGTAAAAAGCATTTAGTATATAGTAAGTTAGTATACAATAATCAAACGTCGATGTTTAGTTTTAGTTTATATCACATACATAAATTTTTAGTTGTATCAACATCCTTAGATAACTTAGTCTTAATGCAATTAATTAAGTATGACTCAATTTTAATATATGTATTTGATTTTTTACAAACAGCTCTGTAAAATTAGTATCTGAAAAATTGACATATGGTTTCACATCTTTTATTTTTTTGATCTGTGATACATATAAATAGCAGCTTAGCGAAACTTGCATCATTGTAACATTAAACTATTGAACATGAGAACAGTTGTAAATAATGTAATGTTGTAATCCTTTACTTTATTTCTTTTTTTTTTGTGTCACAGTAACCTTTCATTCTTTTTTTTTTCGAATAGTGAACAAACTTTTACCAATACTTTTATGAAATACAAAGAATTTCTGTTGTTCAAACTTTTTTTAAATAATTTAAATGTCAGGTAAGAAAAGATTTTAGATTTTTTAAAAAACATTCAATAAACTCTAAGTTAGCTTCTAATAGTTTTATAGTGGACAAAATCATATTTTTAATCATAACTTTCCTTGCTTTTTACTAAATAAACATCATATAAAACTGTTACAAGAAAGGAAAAATTTATATTTATATTACACAGACTATGTCTTCTTAGTTCAAATACTCCTTTTAATAGTCCTTTTTAAATAAGAAAGTCTGATTTCTCTACTGAGCCATTAAATGTATTAGCAATTTTTTAATAGCTGATTTATTACAATAATTAGATTTGTTTGTTTCTTTTCTTATTTAAATATCATTTTCATCAAGATTATTTTTAGCCCACTGTTCCAAATCTCAATAGAGTGTCTGCTTTTTGCCTGAAAAACCTTTAATCTAAGAGGGTGTTTTAAATTGGTCTTATGTATTAAAAAAAAATATTAAGTACCATTAAGTTACTATTTCTATAAAAGTTATTTGTAGTGTTGTGTACATTGTCTATGAATTATTCATTTGTGATTTTATAGAGAAATATTTGTAAAAATAAAACTATGCCATCTAAAATTGTTCAGGATACAAATATATAGTAAAATAAAATCACGATGGACGGCTCGTAATTTTTTTCTTAATAACTTAAAGAAATACATACAAAATATGATTTGTTGCAATAATTAAACTATAAACTAATTTGTCATTCATTTTCATGATGATCAAAACGCGTCAACACAAAGTTTATATATTCTGTTCAAAACACAAATGCTTGTGTATATCACACAAAAGATCGGCTCTTTAGAAGAAAATAAGTATATTTTGAAATTAGAAATTATTTGTCTTTCACACTTGTAAACACTTTTTTAAATAAGGGACTCTAGTTTACTTCAACATATTATTTGAATATATGAAAAAGTTTTGTTAAGCTGCTATGCTCCTGATGCATCTATTGCGTATTTCATTTGTATTGCTTCTCATAATCTGAATTTGTAATAAATAAATAGGGATTGTGTTTCTTTTATAAATAACTGATATATATTTTACTTTAATTAATTGTTATGCATGTGTGTATTTAGTTAATTTAATTCGTATTCTTTTATATAGAAAATCTTTTAATTACGAAATCGCTAATAGTAATTTTAAAAATGATTATTTTCTACGACTTTACAATTGAATTCTAATAAAATACATTTGAAATCTGTAAAACATATGTGTAATTATTTTTTAAACATTATTTAAAACCAAAATTCACTTTATAAGATGTAAATATGTTTTACTTTTAAGAATAGTAAATGTATCTAAGCTGCGAGACTTCATCCGTGTTAATATTGTTTTTAAATAGGTTTTTATAATTAATTCCATATTTAAGTGTAGTGCTTTTACTTAGATATCATTTTCATAGGTAAATCAGGATTCTACTACCGTGTGTAGGTTTCTAATTACGTATTTAATCTATCCTGATTTGCTTATAAATTCATATTTCAATATATATGTATTCTTTTAATTAAGACAAAGGAATATAATATCATTAGAGGTATTAAAATGTTGTTTAAAAAAATATTCCTGACATATATATATATTTTTTAATTTACCGAAGCTGTCAAATATTTCTTTAGTTTAAGTGTAGACATAAACTTGTAGCTACGTATGACTCAGAATATAAATTATTAATAAAAAAAACAATTTTACTCCACAACTTTTGTCATATAATAAACTTGTAAGATCCGGATGCATTGAGCTTTTTTCTCATGTAATTGTTAATCACTAAGTAACCTAACCTATTAGAACAAATATAACCCAATGAAATACAATAACAGTTTTATTATCACATCCAAAAATATTTGTCGTTGTCCCCTATATCTTTCTTCTTCCTGGCAATTTCCCAGATTTAGCCAGGGTCTGTCGCTGTCCCCTTTACGAATTTTAAAGAATTAATTATAAAAACGATATATTGTAGAAAATTCTTTATTCCTTTTTGTGTTAAATGAATTGTTGTTCCCATGGACATCCTTCGCGAAGTTTAATAAATACATCATTATTATTATCAAAAACTATCTCTTCATACTTATACTTTCGTAGTTCGTGTGAACCAGTTTGAATTATCGTCTGTTCAAAGCAAGAAACTTAAGATGCCTATGCTGTTTTTAATTCAGATGGAATCTTCAAAATGTAGTAAGTATATTTTTTTAATTGTAAATAAATTTTGTTACTCCCTTAGATAACATACACAACTATATATGTATTCTTTGTAAGAAGCTATTTATTTTAAATAAATTTCAAATACTTAGTACTCAGAGTATTTGGAAGCTTGTTTGTTAAAGTAATGAATCTTGTTATAACTCATGACGAAAAATTTAGTATTTTTTTTTCAGAATAAGACAATTTTATAGGTGACAAAACACAGATTTAAAATTGCAATTAAATAGAACCTAAAAAAATCTTTTTTTAAATGCATGAAGTTGTTACATTTTTAATCTATCCTTTATTTGTTATTATCCTTTGGGACGTAATTTATAACAAGCACGTGTAAACGACTAGAAAAATTAATGTTCATATATTATAATTATTTTAACAAGACTAGGCATAGGCTAGTTACAAATCAAAATCTACTTAATAATCGTCTTAAGTTATTATCTACGCTTGGTTTTCTGCGATTTCTATTAAATCCTTACCTATGACATTTGTAATCTAGCCTAACAAACGAGTATGTCTCATTTCCGTAGAAATTACGAAAGTCCACTTCACCAGTGGCTTCCTCCATATCATAGATGGCACATGATTGTAGAAATTCTTAACTCTCAAGGCATCGTATACAGATGGCTGGAGAGGCAACTCTGATGTTTTATCTCACCTAAACCTGTGATGACCATTTAGAACTCTTTCAGCAGTATTTTTCGTAGTTTGGAACTTGGAAGTCTCCAGAACAGAGAATGTAAGACGTTTATTGAAGAAATAACTTAGGGCTGATAATCGATGTGAGAAATTTGACATATGCGTGGTCGCTGTTAGCGTCACTCAGACATGGCGCAACCTTTCCGGATAAATACTGTTAAACAGCATGGTTTTATAATATGGGGTAGTTCTTTCGTAAATTGTTTCGGGCCCCATTGTGACAAATTAAAGTATACCTACAGCTTTAAAATTTGCGAAAGCTAACGAGACCCCACGAATTTTTCGAATGTAATTATTCTCTCAGTAGCGGATTAGTTTGCATTTATATAAAAGTATTTAAAAATGTAACAATAAATTGTGACTCCTGCGAACTAATCAACGAATATATATATATATAAATAAAAACATCAAATCTGACATAAACATAATAAATTAAAAAAATCTCATCACTATGTTTAACACAACTTTATCACACTACTTACGTAGCTTTTCCTGTTTCTTATTCAATAACCCATGTTCTTTATTTAGAACCAAGATGCCAACAACCAGCATGCCAAGATTTATGAAAAAAAAAAAGTTTCTTACAGATAGTGACGAAGCAGACTTCTGGTTAGTAGACGAATATTTCTGCTTTATTGGATTCAATATAATAATAATAAAATAAACAATGATATGAGAGACAAATGAGACTTCATGGATATGTAGCTTTGTACCGTTCAACGAAAAGATGAATCTAATCAGTATTTTGGTAAATATAATTTCTGGTTTATTTTAGAATTTTACTATTGTCCATTAATAGAAAAGGTTAGCTAGTAGCTTTTTTAATACAAATTTATTTGAATCCTTAAAGCTTACGAAAAAAGAAAAACTAGTAGTGTAATGAACTTTTAATAATATCCCTCTTTCTTATAATAGAGAAATAAAAAGGCTTCTTTTCTAAGTAAATCCTTATGAATGAAGATTTTTCGGACTTTTCACTTTGCTTCTAAAAAGAAAAAGTAGTAGTCTCCCCTGCCCATCAAATTCTATTCTAAAAAAAAAAAAACAAAAAAATGTCTTATTAGCCTAATCATTCGACTTTTGAAAAAAAATGTATATAATAGCTTTTTTAATTAGACACTAATAAGACACTTGAGGTTGCATGCTCTGTTTCAATTGTTCTTTATTTAGGTTAACGGAACAGGACGTATAATACATTATGTTTCGACTTGGCGGAACATGCATAAAAGCAATTGAATGGCAATTGAGAACCGTAGTTTAACCACGTGTTACATGTTTTCTTTCGAAAATGCATTTTGCTACATTGTTTTCCTTACTCGTATCTCAATCATTTAAGGTTTTTTGTATGTTTCATTTATATATACTATTTCATTTATGTATGTATTTTTTCGTTTCAATCAATCTATTTCTTTAAAATGAAGTATGTATATATAGGGGTAATAATTAGGAGTGTCTTATTATTATTCGTATAAAAAAAGTAACTAGCCAATGCATTACAAACAATTGTCTGATTATGTTTTTTGAAGTATAATTAATTTGTTTCGATCTTCAATTTTGTTTACAGTAAATAATACCAATAATAAATTACCTAAGACGTCCACAATACCATTGATGGGATAGAATTGATTATAAAACTATATTAACTCTTGTTTAAATTTTGGAATATAAAGCAAACGTTATATGTATATATTAGTGGTCGAAGAACATATTTAAATAATGAGATCTAAGATTTTCGCGAGTACTCATTTAAATGAAACTAATATTTTCAGATTTTACAAAAATAAAAAACGCGAAGTAAAATCCGAAAATATTAGTTTAATTTATATTTAAATAATTCGAATGTAGCGGCATAATATATATATGTAAGTTAATAAAATTGTAATAGATAAAGTTTATCTACATTAGAATTTTATTGAAGATGGATGCTATAAAGAAACATATGTATGTATAAGGTTTTTCTTTTAACTCAAGTTATTGCTTATAAAGATAAAATTTATAACAAAGCAATTGTGTGTATATATTCTAAATAAAATCAGAAAGAGTTCATAGGCTCCGGTATGATAGCTCCTATTGTCCGTTCTTGTTTACTAAGAAACACATGTCGATGGCCTTGGCCCAAAATGCCGCAACTAATACTCTGAGCTCTGTATCTGCCGACCGCGGGCCACACTATAACACGCTTGTATCCAGGTGGTTTATCGTAACTACTGTTAAAGCCACATTTGTTTTGCTTAAACGTTTTTGGTTTATCCGTATTGTAATGAGCTGGACCAGGATCTGTTGGTTTTTTTAGGCACATGGAAATATCAACTAAGGCGTTACGACCTCTATAAGGAAGACTGCGATTTGTTTTATTCATCACACCAAAATGAGATTTTTCATATTTATCTAATGTACCTTTCAAAGCAATGGGCCAAGTGGCAGCAGAACATTTCTGTGAAGTGCTAAAATGATTTTTTATTGTGCTTCCATCACGTTTCCCCGTAAAGAGGTCGTAAGGACCGCGTATGGATACTATTTTCTTTGGTTTATTTTCGATGGATTGTTTATCTACAATTTTATAACGATCGGGTGCCAATGACCATTTTAAACCAGTATCTTTGAATCGACAAGCTTCCTCCCTTTCAAATGTAGGTCTAGATGAGTGTGGACCATAGGGTGCTTTAAATGGAACACTTTTGTAATAAGTTCCAGGACCTGGGAGGTAATTTTTCGAATAACCAAATCTAGCTTTTCTTCCAAAGCCCAAGTTTTTACATGCAGGCTCGTATTTAATTCGTTCTGGGACATCATGCCACGCTGGACCCAAAATAGAATTGAACCATCTTCTACGTTCGAGCACTTTTTGATTTCTGTATCCTAAATTTTTAGCCCATTCTTCTAATTCTTTTTTGTAACGCCATGGATCTTTTTCAGTCTTCCTTTTTCTATTTATCTTAAAAATTTCATTAATGTCTTGCGGGTGGTAAAGACAAGGGTCACAACCGTCTGGCCTTATTGTGTATAGGCCACTGGGATCCAAATTGGGGTGAGCAGTTATTTTTCCAAAACGTTGCACTTTGCTACCGAATGGTACTGCCTCTTTCGGTTTAGCCATTTAGACCTGGAAAGACAAGTTTAATCTATAAGTAAGCCATTAATAAATAAGCATTATAAAAAAAATGAATATTGCGTTTAATATGTAACTGAAAGTTTGATTGATTTAATATTGACAAGGTCCCAATAAACAACATTTTTAAGCAGTATCCCCAAAGAGTTTCAATATTAATTAATATATTCAATCATCTAAAATATTGCCACGAATTTATTTGTAAATATTCTTAATATGGCCATGAAATAGCTAAGGACTACCAGTAATAATGAATAATTGTTAATAGGAAAAAGAATTAATAATAATTTAAAATAGTGTAAAAAGTAGCATTATTACACAGTCTTTTGGAGCTATGAATATTTAAATAAGTACTTATTTTAAAAAATTTTTTATTTTTTAATTATTACTTTTAGTAAACACAATTAATAATTAAATAATTAAGGAATAATAACAAAGTTGTGTTCACAACTAGTGTCTTGATTTTGTAAATAATTGCAATTGATGCGAATGGAAATGATTAAAATAATAATTTTAATCCGTATCATAACGGAAATTTCCTGGAAATGATACATCAAAGAATTTGTTTTAAATAATATCATGACAAGATGGATCAATAAGATCAGAGAAAATTAAACCCTCAATACATTTAATGCAAAAACAATATTTAATAAACATTCTGTCAATGTTCAGATTGTAATAATTTTAAAATAAATCTTCTAATTGTTATATTAATTATAATAATAGGTGGTATTGAAATCAAAAATTTTTTTCCTGTGTTAAATAAATTTTTTAAGTACTTTTAAATAGATTTTTGTAAATTTTTAGTCAATAAATTTAAGTTGGAAATAAGTCTAAATAACTGATAATTAAAAGTACCACAAAAAGATATTAAGTGCATATATCAATATTGCAAAAAAAACATTATATTGTTGTCATAATAAAATAATGGGAAACTAATTTTCGGAGCTTCAAAACTTTGCAATATTCCATGTCGTAGCGATGCTACGACATTTATGTATGCTACGTACTGCATTTTTAAAATTGTGGAAACATTTAAAGTCATCTGTATGTAGTAATAATGGGCATTTCATTAAAAAAATTACAGACTCTAAATTTTGTATAGTAAAATGTGTTTATAATATATATGAATAACTGTGTTGCTACGTGTTCACTTGTCCTCTTTTTGGGAAAATAAAACTGATAGAAATCGCTTCATTGTATACAATGAAGTAATTTTTATTGTTAATTATTAATTAATTATTGTTTTAAAAGTCAATCTCGCTACACTTTGTTATCAAGTACGCTACACTACACTTCAAAACGTCTTACCTTTGCACACAAAACTCGAGTTGAACAAACACATTTTTACATGACATTTTACAACTTTAGGGACACATTATGATTTGCCGTTCACGGATATTGTATGGGGGGCTTTATTCGGGGAAAATCTAAGAAAGGGGATCGGTGTTCTGTATTAGTAAATAATGCGCCTTAGGCAGCGTACATCGAAAATCGATGGGGGGAGTAGAAGCCGCGCGCGTGCGTCCCTCGTGCTGTATCCGCGTGTCGCCGCCGGACCGCCGCCGTCGACGCACGCCCCCGACCTGTAGGAGGACAGACTTGTTGCGAAGCCCACCTGTTAACACATGGAGGCGCCGTGAATTTAAGGTGAGTCCAATACCTTTTATTATGCGCAGCTGCTGCGAATTTCGGCATATTTTTTTTTTAATCCCGCCTATTCGGCACATGTCCCACGTGTTACGAAGTTCGAAGTTTACTTTTGAATTATATGGATTCGCGCTATAACTTAAAAAAAGTTTTATAGCTTTCAAAGTTTATGGAGGTTATAAATTAAGTTTGTATTCCGTGAGACACTCAGCCTATTTATATCGTAGTATTGGATTAGCTTTTGTTATTTATATGGAAAGTCTTTCTTCGTTTTTGTTTTTCGTGTTAGGTTTACGGAAACTTTTAATTTTATATGTCTTTGAATTGAAGTTATAAAGTTTGAAATTTCTTTAATTTATCTAGCGGTACCCATTGTGAACGGTTTTAAAAATGACTATGATTGTTTTTTTATATAATTAATATTTGAATGACTATGACAATGTAATTATAAACTCAGACATCGAATTGAGTGTTATAATTCAACAAAATGTCGCAGAGGTCTAGTAATTTTTCCGATGTTAGTGGAATTTTGGTACCTTAGTTAAAATAGCTAATCAAGATGGAAACAGGACTGATCAACACTATTGTTAACTTACGTAGAATTCTAGTCGATTGGCCTAAATTAAGAGACAGGTAATGTTTTAAATAATGCAAATATATTCAAGATGACTTTAAAATATAAGTACATATATTAATGGCGGCCAAGTCATGACCTACTTTGGATATTATATAACGATTTCTTTTGTTACTAGTAAGATCTATCTACGTAGTTGGGCACGATAAACGTTATGTATGAAAAGATAAAAAAATATAATCTAAACCTAAAAAGTTACCTTAAAATTGTAATTACATTGCATTGTATTTATTTGAGCACTTTCTTAATTTTCACGATATCACCATTAATATTTAAGTACAATATTGACAGGATGGTTAGTAATTTCTAGATATTGTACAATTTCCGAAATCGTATTGCATTTATTATTTCGTATTCTCTGTTACATATTTCACATGGGATGGTATTCCCGGGATCGATACGAAGATTAAATTTCAAGGGCAAATTACGGACCCTTTTTTAATAACCCCATTTTAATGAAAGGATTCTGTTCGTACCAATATTGTTTGTTATTATTTGCAGATTATAACCCTTCCTACTAACTGTTTTAGAGGACATGCTTTTAGAAGCGACTATTTAGAGGGAGCATCACACAGTTCACTTTTTAATTAAGTTTTATACTAGCAGTACATGATATGAATATTTCCTTTTAATGATATGCGTGTTTAAGTGTATGAGTAATTTGTTAATAAAGTTTATAAGTAGTTTACAATTCATGTTAATATTAATACGCCGGTTAAGAGTTGAGACGTCTGGGTGGCCGTAATAATTAAAACTTCTTGCTGTTATCATTTAAGGGTGACGTAGGACAAAATAATATTAGTTTTGATCATACATATTTGTAAGTAATAAATCCCCGTTATTATTAATTTCGTTATAAAAAAGCAATTTTTGATGTCCAGACCGTTTTAATCGTTTTGTTAAGGACTATATTGACAAAATAACAAATATATACATAATATGATAAAATGTTTCTTATCAATATGATACAATATGTTTTCTTTTTATGAATCTCTTATCTCACGCTCCTTTAAGGATACGTTTCAGTGTTTGTCGTGATTACATCAGTATAATAATGAGTTACATTGTCGTATTTCTTAAATATTTTTTAACTTAATTGTTTTATGCACAGTTGAAAGTATTCTTTAATTAACATTTCCTTCGCAGGCGCTCACAGTTATCTTCGTCACTAACTAGATTTAAATAGGAAATTTGATTGTTAAATCATCTTAATAAATTCAAAATGTTTACTATGTTAATATTATTGAATCTTGTTTTGAGTAACATATATTATATAATGTATATAAAATATAGATATGTTCTGATCAATAAAATGCGTAGCAGAATATTCCGAGCTTTGACAAGTAAATAGAGTTGAATTAGGGTTCAGACTCGCATATAGGGTTGTTCCTGATTAAGCACCGGACTAGATTAACGTCCGATAAAGTGTTTGTGCTCTGCATAGGCTCTTGAATGTAGCGTAATTTCGAAACCATCAACGATTCTTTCAGATCACGGAAATAAAAACTACGAAGTACGTACATTAAATCATTATTTTTGGTTATTATAGTTAAAGCCAAAAATGTGACCGATGGAAGATTACTTAAAATTTTAGAGTTAAAATAACATTGCAGTGAATATGTTATATTTTTCAAATAGCAAATGTAAGTGTTAGAATTAAAATACTTATTATTTCAGATTAAATACAATCGTATCTATTAGATTGCGACTTCTTCAATTTACAAAATCGTAATGTTTTTACTGAAATTATTGGCAGACGATTTTTTGGTGGTTATATGTACCTAGTTTGAATTTGAATATTTATTTTATAAACTAGTTTTTGCCCGCGACTTCGTCCGCGTTAGTTTGGTCAAGAGTAATATATGTAGGTATAGCCGACCAGGCAAACTCTTTTCCATCTTAGAGGCCATAAATAATCAGCTTTTTCCTGTTTCAATCAAACAGAATGATCGACATATTAGTTAGTTGTCAAATCTAATGTCAAAAAAAACGTTTGTATGGGATATAGAAAAGGACTGTTTTTAGGGTTTTCCCGGCAATTATTCCAATTTTTCTCACCTATTAAACCTTCCCTGGACTTTCAGGAGTATTTCAAGGCTATACGTATTTCAAATCGGTTCAGCCGTTCTCGAGTTTTAGCGAGACTAAGGAACAGCAATCCATTTTTATATATATATAGAAGATATGTAAACAGACGTCAGAACAAAATATAACTTATTTAAACTGCCATGATGAGAAATAGTCCCTATCTATATACAAAATTATAAAAGGTAACATTACACTTTTCCTTCTTCGAAATGTCAACCAAACCCAATATAAAATTTATAAACCTTCACACAGATCTTACTGTTAGTGAAAACGATAAAATAAATCTATAGGTTAATAATAAATTTTTGTACGTTGATTAAATAAGGAAAGTGTCTATGAAAATTGTTGAGTTTTTTTGTAGGTAAGCTAAAATAGGTAGTCTTAAGTTGTAAGCTTTTTTCAAGTGTGTGAATGTGCTCATTTAAAAAGTTAAATACAAAAAATATTTTTGAGCTTTATTTTAATTTAATATTTGTATTACTTTGCTTCCGTGGCTCATTAAATTATAACCCTACTTTCACATTACACGATTTCGCTCGTGCGGGAAAAAATTGCCCGATTTTTAATCGTGGTTTTGCTACTTTCACATTGAACGATAAAAATCGTACATTTTTATCAGTTCATTGGAACATTTGGTCTGGTCTGGATGAAAGTTATGGATCGCGAACAAGTTATTGCGTTATGGATACTGTATCGGCGTCGGAAAAGACAAAGGCGCAATCGCCTTCACTGGATTCACCCAATTAATCAGAGACGAGAGGAAGTCGGGATGTTCCACACATTATTTGAAGATCTTAGAAACGATGGCCAAAAGTTTTTCAACTACTTTCGTATGTCAGTTCGCTCCTTTGATGAGTTACATGGGAAACTGAAGAGTGTTCTACAATTCCCGTACGACTAAAGACCGTCTAGTGTGAAAGCGTGCATTTGGTCACATAGGCCACTAGGCTAGAGGACGATACGGTAGCCGTGCGGTTCTAGTAGCACTGGACGGCTGCAACACGATTACAAAACGTGCCCGTGTTCAAATCGTGCAATGTGAAAGGTCTCGTACTCTTCAATAGTCGATCAAGAAAAATTGCCCGGGCGATTTTTTCCCGCACGAGCGAAATCGTGTAATGTGAAAATAGCGTAAGTCTAGGCAAGAATATTGTAATAACGAACTCCCTTGTATGTGTGCTCAGCCACGAAGATAGTATTATGGGCAAAAACAAACCAAATGTTTCCATATATTCCAAATATAGTCATTTCCACGATTCGTTTTTATCGGAAAAAATAAAGAGAATCTTAAAATCTTCTAAACTCATAGTATTTTTTTAAAGTTAAGAATTCTGAAATTTTTACTTGCCGGCAAAAAAAAAACATATTTAAGAGTCTGTTATATTTGATTCGAATTATCTAAATTAAAACTCTTATTTTTTTACCGAGCGTAGACAGATCTAATAAAAATAAAAGATATTCAATCTCAAATTACTCATTGGCGTCAAGTCGTAGCGTTTCTGCATTGCAGTGAAAACTTCCCATCAAGATTATATGAAAAGATCGTTCGTTCTCCAAAACTAGAAGGTATATTGACGGTAAAATATTTTATTTCTAAGGCTTTATCTGCTTATAATAAGACTAAATTTATGACTTAACAAATCATCTTGCTATAAGATTCTGAAAAGATTTGAATGAGATGACTTTATATAGAGTTTTTTATTTCTATTAATTTTATTCCACTTCAATCACAGAATGCAATGACTACTATAAATGATATTTAAATCACAAAAAATAATTAACACGTCAACAAAATATTGCTGTTTCAGGAAAATCAAGCAATGTTTTCGAATGTATTCATTTAATAAACATATAAAAAATGTTGTATGATTTAATTTCCACGCCTCATAACTGATTATCTGAGAAAAGGCAACTGTCTTTAAAGTGTTTAAAGAAATTTAAAGTTTGTCAGCTGATGAGGAAAGTTGCTGTTATTAGTGATAGCTATTTAACTTTAATAAAATGTATCTGATATTTCTTCTGGAACTTACAACTATAACAATATTATATTTACATATTTGAAATTTATTAAACATTAATAAATGTCAGTTTATTAGAGACACAAATTACTCATGCCATCTAACTATGAACTTTTAAATGCATTTATATAATCAAAAAGACAATCAAAAGAAAAAATCGCTAAAGTTTACACATAGACGTAACGTTAACAGAAAACACTAATTAATTAATTATTAGTTGTTACTTTTTATTATCGTATAAATTTAATTAGATACATATTCCTTATAATATTTTTTCTTATTTTAGTAGATAATTCAGTAAAAATTAT